CCTCTCTGTTAGACTTTCACCCAATCTCCACTCCTTCAAAAAATCTTTGAAAACTTACTTCTTTAGGAAAGCATATCAATTAAACTGTGAACAGCTTTCCCTCCCGCACCCTAATTCCTCTCCTGCAACTGTCATCAAAACAATGCACTAAACCCTCGATGAACACTATCCAAGCAACCTACTTTTATACCCTACCCTTACCTTTTGTGTCACAGTACCCCACTCCCTCTAGCATGTAAGCTCATTGAGCAGGGTCCTCAATCCCTCTGTTCCTGTGTGTCCAACTCATCTGGTTATGAATATGAGTCTTAGTCTACCCATTGTACAGTGCTACGGAACTTGTTGGCGCTTTATAAATAATAATAATTGATTTGTTTATTTTCTAAGTCTGCTAAATGTTCCTATCAGTTTATACAAATGATACCTGGAATGGATACAGAGCATCACATATCACCACCAGGGAAACAATAAGAGCAACTGCAGCACTGGATCACCAAGTTCAGCTGTGCCAAGGGAATGCGCTGTGTAAGAGATCCAGGCAGGGCGCAGGCAGGCTGATTTGAACTAGTAGAGAGAGTAAGTGTTTCAGTGTATACATCTGTGCATGTCTGCAATTGTTTGTGTGCCTCAGTGTGTGCTTCTGTGCATGTGGCAGTTTTTGTGTGTGTCAGTATATCTGTGCATGTGTGTCAGTGTTTGTGTGTGTCAGTATATGCATGTGTGTGTGTGTCAGTGTATGTATCGGTACATTTAGATTTGTGTATGAATCTTTGAATATATGTCCATATGTGTCAGTTTTACTGTGTAAATTTCTGAGTGTAAATATCTTGCAGTATACCCATGTGTATATATGTCTGTAGGCATCTACGTGGCAGTGCATGTTTGTATCTGTGTATGGCAATGGGCCCCTGTATGTGTGTTTGGCAGTGCATATGCAGTTGTATGAAATCACCAATATTACACACAAACACACCCCTGCATTCAAACACCAACACTGTATACAAAAACAGTCCTGCATTCAAATGCCAACACTACACACAAAAACACACCTGCATTCACATGACAACATTACAGACAAACACACCACTGCATGCATACACTAAAACTACATACAAAAAACTTGCATTCAAACACTACACACACCCCTGATTTAACATAGAAACATAGAAACATAGAATGTGACGGCAGATAAGAACCATTCGGCCCATCTAGTCTGCCCAATTTTCTAAATACTTTCATTAGTCCCTAGTCTTATCTTATAGTTAGGATAGCCTTATGCCTATCCCACGCATGCTTAAACTCCTTTACTCCTTTACATACAAACACTACATTTATACAATATCAATATGTATAAATATATGTAATATCTACAAATATTCACAAACTTTCATGGTGACTTACGTAGATACATTTTTTGGAAAGTTTTTCTAACAGTATTGAATCATTTAAAAAGAATATTAAATCAAGGCCTATGGCTGGATTTGATGTTGTTGTTTAATAAGCTTTTCAAATTATTTAACATTTTTGCACAAACTTTTAAAGTGTTTTAATAATATGGAAAAAAGTGAAATTTGCAATATTTTTTCAGTACATTTAATATTTTTAAAAAAATCATGGCCTCAATTTACTTTTTTTTGGATAAGCTCAAATGATTTCACCTTTTTGAAAGAGCTTTCAAAATGTTTGTTTTCCCCCAAATTATTAAATATCAAATGTATTAATTTATTAAAAAATATAAATATTCAAATATTTTTCTAAATATTAGATCATTTGAAAAAGCGTATCCAAAATCATTAAATTGAGGCCTACGTCAAGTAATAGTTTTGTCAAAGAAAAATCTAATTGCCGTTGTAGTAAAAAATTAAACCACACATTTTTTTTTTCATGTTGGACGTTCTGCCTTCTTATGGATAAACAGCAGAAACAAGAATGTATAAATAAGTTCTTGTTTAGCCCATATTACTATGTAACTATATATTTCATAGTACAATGTTAGATTTATTTAGAGATTAGTTTATATACTTCCTTAATTTGATCCCTGATTTAAAGTAACACTGTGGCACTGTTACAATTTACTGTGAACTGTAAACCCAAGCGATTGCTACTTAAATGTAGCAGGAGTAACCACTTCAAGATCTGTCAATTATTCGGTGCTGAGCCAGCCATTCTGGGCTTGCATCGCCATTTTTAAACCCTCATAAAAACCAACAAGTCTCTGGGTATGTGTACAATGGCAGCAGCCAATCAAAACTTGGAATATCAATATTTGGGCTGATTAACTGCCAACATGTGTTTTAGAATTGCCTGCAGATGATAAATACCGACTGTGCCTAAAGGAAGTACAGATTAAACAGAAATGGCTTAATGTGTATATGTCATGGAACACACATGTTTTTTTTCTAGTTTAACAGAAAATTTAATTCTATCTATTCATTGCTCTAGCAGCTTTGCAAGCAAATATAGGTAATGGCAGAAAAACCTATTGAAAAATTAGTCTTCCCCCCCCCCCTCCCCACCTGTCAATCAGTTCTTTGACACAGAACAAGCATAGACCTCTATGCTGGCAGTTGATTGACAGGGGAGACTCTAAGAATCCCTGTGCAGAGAAACTACCGCGCATGCACTATAGTTGCTGTGATTACTCCTGATGTCCCTCCATTCAGATGCCAAATCGCTGGCAATGAAAGAAGGATTGCCCTCCCATTTAATCGATTTACAATATTAAAATGATAAAGAATAAATTATGGTGGTATTTTTTGGTTATATAGTATTACAAATAATATTTCCAATGGGAGAGACGCTTTATAAAATTATTTTAAAGTAAATCAGGTTGAACAAAGATAATTATGCAGTTCTATGTTATGCTTCCTTCAGTATGGTTAAAATTTAAAGCTGAACCTTTTTTAAAGAATCTTTCTGTTGCCAGGCAACAAAACAAAGGCATCCAAGTGCCATCTCCTTCTGTCCCTGCAGGCTCTAAAATAAAAAATGGACAGGAGACAATCAGAAAAGGGTAAAATGTTCAATAATAAAATATTTTTTTGCTAACCAGAGGTTTTGATATTCAGAAGTAATAGGGATGATACATCTAATGCTACATCTCCTATAAAAAAAAAAAACATATTCTCAGCCAGATAAGTGGAACAGAATAATAAAAAAAAAATTGCTATGAAAATGGGTAACTTAACTGTGGTTTCGTCAGATGTCAATAAACATAAAACCTATTATTCACTATCGCTGCAGACCACACGTTTTCTAGGTTTATAGGAGTTGTGCTTTTATTGTCATAGTCAACAATTGTTTGCTTACAGAGTACAATGAGTGATGTCAGTGAAATTAAATATCTGATGTAGCCTTGGCTGAAAAATTACTTTGTAATTCTATGAGAATCTATTAAGTGCTCACTCTTGTTTAAATATGATAAATTGCATTAATAGAGTTCCTGGCAAGATGAGCTTGCAATCTAATATTTTTGAAAGGAATCACATGGTAAGCTTTTCGGAGAAAGGCTCACTTTAGCTATTGTTTCATTAAAGTGTACCTGGTACATACACTTTTTCATAAAATGAATATAAGAGACTCTGATACGGACCCAGTATAGTCTAAAAATCTATTTATAAAATCAACACTATTTCTTTGTATCCATTCCTATACTGTGGTTTAAAAGTGATTGGAATAAAATTAAATTTTTAGACTGTTTCAGGGATTCCAATATTCCCAAATAGAGTTTTACTCCATGCTCCATGTTTTGAACTGGTCATTGAGTCTGTATGTGCAGTGTTTTCACTCTGAAATGCTGCACATATGGAGGTTAACCCCTCTGCTGTCGGAGGTGTAACCCCACCCCAGCATCATTAGGCCTGCTAATCTCAATACTGTGCATATTCCTAGTATGGCATTCATTGTCTGACTATGGTCACCTATTTTGTGCCTCTGCAGAGTGAAACCCAGTGCTGGAGCAAAGGTTTCTACATGTTTCTACATGCAGCTGAGGCTTGTTATAGTCATTATTGCTCCTGGCAGATGAAATTAGTAGGATCTCAAAAAGGAGGGACAGATTAAAGGGTTAGTCCAGCCATGATGACCACCTATACTTTTAGAAGTAGCTTGTCTGCTTGAAACGGTGCACATACAGAGATATCTACGGTTTCGTGCCGGGACTAGTTGCACTTAGGCAGCCCGAATCCTGGCTGCCTAATGTGAGTTCTGTGCAAAACGTACGCCTGATGTCAGCACGCTCTGTTGCACTGCAATGGGATGCCTCAAAGTCCCTCACGCCTTTCCTCCACAAGTCCTCCCTCTCTCTACATGGCACAAAGTGTGCACATGCGCTCTCAGCCGTGGAAAACAGTACAATCATAAACCAGCAAGAAGGACCTTGCCTGATGTTGGATTCATGGAAAGTTTAAATATATAATTCAATGTTTTTGTTAAATAAGGGGGACCAATAGGATATAATAAAGCTTGCCTATTAAACTGAGTATGTCTCCTTATCTGCTTCTTCATATCACCTTCTGGGGTCTTTGCAAACATTGTAAAAATCCCAGTGATAATTATTCTTTAACATTTTCAGAGGCCCACATTGTAGCCACCCCAGTTACATCATAAAGTCTTGTAGTGAATAAATTATCCTGAACGTTCTAAATTACCCTCAACCCATGACATTCTAATCCAAGCCAAATGACACACAGGCAGGGCCAGCTATAAAAATATATTACGACTGGCTAAAAAGCCATTAGAGCTGTAGTTTTACAGCAGCCAGGTTTTTGCAGTGATTAAATTATGCTGCAAATTATTAGCTTAAAACTACTGAATTACCCTCATAACCTCAACATTCTAATTTAACATGACGACAAGTCCCATGCCTCTTAACAAGTGTGTGTCCCGTTGTACATGATGGGAGTTGCTATATTGCATGAGCTGTGCATTCACAAAGAAAACTCTCTATAGTGAATGCCAGAAAGTGTGAGCTACAACTTCACACATTACGGTAGGAGAACCCCCTCCCCTCCCTTGCCCCAGTCCCTGCCCCTCTCCCCTCCCATCCCCCTGCTCTGACAATCGGTTACGTGGTGCTGGCAGCTCCCGCTGGAAGCTTCGCACAATGCTGCACGCAGCAGCGACTGCAACCAGGAATAAGACCCCAGGATGAGGGTGGGAAAGCCCCCCACTAACACTGCATCATGAGGATCCACTGCAAGCTCTTGGCCAGCCTGCTCTGTCTGGGGGGAGTCCTGATCCTGTATCTCTTCCTGGGGAATGCTGAGGAGGAGCCCCATGTGAAGGGGACCCCAAAAGCCAATGCACTTCAAGCCACGTCTGGACATGGCAGGGCACGGCCCCCCACCCCTGGGCACTTCAGAGCTATGCAGGACCAGAAAGCCCAGAGACACAGCAAGAAGAAGAATAAGAAGATGAGTGAAATGAAGGCTAAGGGGCCAAGTCTTAGGTAATCAGCACTTTTTATGACTGTATCTTAAACTACGGAGTTACTGCAGCAAGTGGGGCGTGGGGGTAGACTGTTGCCCTATCAGGTTAAAAGCTGAGTTCACTTGTCATTGTAGGGTTACTAAACTAGACTTTCTGTTGTACAAAACATTTTAGACAAGATAATGGGTCTATTGCGGTTCTACCTTTCTAAATGGCCAGCTCAACATTCTGACACAGAAGGCTAAATAGCTCATGACAATTGTTTTATTTCCTAATACGTTCTGCAAGAGACATTACTACTGCATGTCCTCTTTAGCTGATCTCAGAAATCTGATCCGCAGAGCTAGCAATCTATACCGAGAGATTTGCCTGCTGTTCAGAATAAACATAGCAAGATAGAAACATAGATTTCACATTAATGAAAGAATTGACTCACGATCCCTGAAATCTGTTAATCTGGAGTGTTTTTTAATTTATTTGCATAGTTTAGATAAGGATGATGTATGAGAATTTAATTTATCCAATAGCATTTTGCAAACAATTCACACACACTGGAGCTACATGGTTTTGAATGAGCAGTTAATAAAAGTGACACTTTTATTTGGTAGTTGGTGGAAAAAATTTATTCATAAGCCCTTGTTGAACATTTCAAATGGATTCTGGATGTACATTAAACAATGAGCGCCATCTGATTTCTGTATAATACATTACTTGCTGGATGCTGAAGCAAATTTACTAATGTATCAGTCTCAGTGGAACTCTGCTTTAATTAGTGCGTATATTAATTTAAACCTTGCCAAAAGGGTCTGTGTCAGCATAAATCTGGCATCACTAAAATGTCATCTGCCGTGCCAAGCGTGATCAACAAGTTTGATACCTGTAGTAAATAGGATTCTGTTTGAATGATACTCGTTACACTCAGGGGCCTGTTAAAAGAAAATCCTAGCTTTTGAAATAGGGAGCTGCTTAAAAATTGGTCGCCCATCATAGTTGTGATTTATTTAACAAGTTCTTTTGTGTGTTTTTTCTTTTTTCTTCATTGAACAGAGAACAATGGTTAAGGGGCATGGGAAGTGCAAATTTCATACCAACATAAGTTGAATTGGAAAAACAGTTCACTTGGAGAATTGTGCCCTTTCTGCCGTTTTGGCCTACAAATTGCAATCCCTATGTCAATTCTCCACAATTCCAGTTTTATTGAATTTGTTTTTTTTCCTGTATCCGTTTCCTTTCTAAAACTTGCGCATGTGGTATTTGCATCTAGGTAAGTGAAAATCTGCCTTTGGGAGTTGGCATGGGCCATTATCCTGTTCCCTAGTTGCAGATGGCTAGTGTTCCAGAGGTATGAAATGTTCTGCTTTTTCACATGTTGCACAACCTAGCAGTCTTATTCACTAAACTTAAGAATTTTAGGGAATTAAAGAGCAGCTGACATTTCCTCAGTTTTAGCACAGCCTAATAGTTTACAAAGGTTACCTGTTGGTTGGGTTAAAAGTTTAAAAAAAAATAATTCTACATCAGAATGTTTCTACTTACATTTCTGTATGAGATGCCCAGGAAGTCAAAACTAAAGGCTATTGTACAAGGCACACAGCCTCGGGGAAGGATAGAGTATAGATTGCAAGATTCTATCAAGAGGATGGACATCACAGGAAGGTAAGTATTGTGGGAAAATGGGACTTGACAAAGGAAGTAAAGCTTGCCTTAAGCTCCAACCTCTGTCAAGATTTGTTAACTGCAGAAAAATACGTAAGACAACGCAGTCCCTATTTTGTCTTTGGTATTTTACGAGAAGAAAAAAAAAATTAGAAAAGAAGAACATATGAAGAAAGAGGAAGAGAAGAGGAAGCACTTGGAGAAAGGTAAGTTTAAGGTAGCAAAACCATTATAACCTAATAAAATAAATTTTAAGGCATCGTCTACAAAAATGTTGGTCTCATGTTTTATAGTCAGAGTTAAGTGAATAATCCTGTGGGTTGGCAAGAGCTCACACTAACAAGTAGTTAGAGATTGGCTCTTTGAAGGTAGAATTGTAAACCTCCATGTTTTAATGGATAGTATTGATAATGTATTAAAAATGCAAATATGAGGTTGTAAAAGAAACCTCGAAAGTGTCTCCGTTTTGCAGTGACCATTGATATTTCTTCATTAGGCAACAGCAAGTAGGCCTCCGTTAAAATCATTAAGTTATAGGGACAAGGTAGGCATCAAAATTACGTCTTAGACACTGCCCCTTCATCCTTAGTGATGTAAACAGTGCCACTCCTGAGAAATGGTATTGTTTACGTTTTGCAATGTCCACGCCTGCCATCCATGTGGGGCTTTGGATTAAAATTAATTCTATTTTTGAATCTATTTGTTGTCTGGCATTAGCATGCAAAGTATGCTGATGCCAGACGCCGTTTGCTTCCAATACTTCCCTTTGAGATTTGCTGCTTATGCGGTGTTATCACATAGAAACATAGAATGTAACGGCAGATAAGAACCATTCGGCCCATCTAGTCTGCCCAATTTTCTAAATACTTTCATTAGGCCCTGGCCTTATCTTATAGCTAGGATAGCCTTATGCCTATCCCACGCATGCTTAAACAACCTCACTGTCTTAAAGGAACGCTATAGGCACCTAAACTACTTTAGCTAAATAAAGCAGTTTTAGTGTATAGATCATTCCCCTGCAATTTCACTGCTCAATTCACTGCTCAATTCACTGTCATTTAGGAGTTAAATCACTTTGTTTCTGTTTATGCAGCCCTAGCCACACCTCCGCCGGCTATGTTTGACAGAGCCTGCATGAAAAAAAAAAACTGGTTTCACTTTCAAACAGATGTAATTTACCTTAAATAATTGTATATCAATCTCTAAATTGAACTTTAATCACATACAGGAGGCTCTTGCAGGGTCTAGCAAGCTATTAAAAAAGCAGGGGATAAGAAAATCTTAAACAGAACTTGCAATAAAGAAAGCCTAAATAGGGCTCTCTTTACATGAAGTGTTCATGGAAGGCTGTGCAAGTCACATGCAGGGAGGTGTGACTAGGGTTCATAAACAAAGGGATTTAACAACTAAATGGCAGAGGATTGAGCAGTGGGGCTGCAGGGGCATGTTCTATACACCAAAACTGCTTCATTAAGCTAAAGTTGTTCAGGTGACTATAGTGTCCCTTTAACCTCTACCACTTCAGCTGGAAGGCTATTCCATGCATCCACTACCCTCTCAGTAAAGTAATACTTCCTGATATTTTCAAACCTTTGCCCCTCTAATTTAAGACTATGTCCTCTTGTTGTGGTAGTTTTTCTTCTTTTAAATATACCCTCCTCCTTTACTGTGTTGATTCCCTTTATGTATTTAAATGTTTCTATCATATCACCATTGCTTATTTTCCTAAGCTGTCTAGAAATAAATTGTGCTTTCACACAAACCTAATAATCCAGTCTTAGTACTTAAAAAATGTAAATACCTTTTTAGTGACTGAGGTTTAAATACCTCTAGTGACTGTCACTAGAGGTGATTTCTCCAAAATAGTCAAATGGCAGAGTTCTGTCGCTGATGATCGCAGCTAACAAAGGGGGAAGGCAGCTCAGAGACTGGCTCTATAAGGGAGGAAAGTTAAGTAATTAGGCATTTTACCAACTTACAGGGAGAGCCAGGAACATGACTAGTTAGAAGGGTGGTATTTGTATTCCTAACACTATAGTGCTTCTTTAACATGTCAATTTAATTTGAATAGTCTGAATCCTTAAAAATCAATTAACTCATACAATTTGTTTCAAGCAATTATTTTAAAATGCTTAAACTTTTCTTAAAGAAACACTCACAGTCCATAACACTGCACATACAGATATTAACCTGTTCGCTGCCGGAGATATAACTCCACCTCCAACAAAGCCATTAGCCAGCCCAGTACAAGTTTCTAAGGTGGCTAATGCCAATTCTGTGCAAAATTGGTGCCTGATACCAGCATGAATGTGTGAGAGTTGAGCAGACTTGTGTCCAATCAGAAGCTTCTCATAGAGAAGCATTGATTAAAAACTCCTCATGCGTGGCAGTCTCCACAATCCACGGACAATACATGGTAGAAAGCTCTAAGTTGACAGCCAGGAGGTGTACCGGGATTTATAAAAAATATGAAATAAACCCTTTTTACCTGGGATCTGCTGGTTGCCTCTCCTTGCCTCCAGTACAGGCTGCTGGAGCGCCCTAAACTCTCTGTTTGAGCTTAGCTCGTTGGCTGATGAGCCAATGACCTAAGCAGGAGCTTCTGGCTCTTGATTGGAGGGGGGAGCAACACCTGGTGGGCCCCCATTGTTCTACAACAGTTTGACTACTTATAGTGGGGGAGTTCCAGGGCATTTCCGGCACAATAACCATTACATCATGCTGTAGTGGTTTTGGTGTTTGGAGTTTTTCTTTACTACTACTTTGTAAAATCTAAATCTTTTTACTTACGTATATTTCTGATTTCTTCTTTAAAGTGTGAATAAATTGTAGTCTTTGTAGTATCACTCTACTTTAGACATACGCATTCAGAGTATTGCTTCCTTTTGTAAAATTAATTGTTATGTAGCCGTAGGCTTGATCTGTTTATGTACTGTATAAATCCATAGACAGACCGTACCTACCTGGAGGCTAGAAGAATTTCTGTAGAAGTGGAATGGTAATAAGAGAAGAGACAAAGTTCAGAGCAAAGAAAAAAGGTTGTGCGAGTGTCTAGACACATCAGAGCTGCCAGTTTAAAGGCATGTTGGCATCTCTCAGTATTTAACTAGAACGGCAGTACAATGCCCTTTAGAGTCTTTAATGAAAGTATTCCGCACCGGCTACGATAATCTGGTTTCACAAATTATATTATTGCAGTATTTTGCCTCTTAGTGAGGGATGGAAAATATATATCTTGAGGGCTGCTTATTATCTGGGTAAGGCCTTAGCTGCTCAAAGAATCTGAAACATAGATTTTGACAGATGATAAAAGACAATTGGTCCATCTAGTCAGCCAATTCCTTATCTAAAAGCACATACTTTATTTCTATTCTTGATTTGGTTTTTAAGATTGCAGTGTGTTCTTCCTGAACCAGTTCAATCAATCTGGGCTACCTCTACTGAAAGGCATCTCCACGCATCAACAACTGTTTATTTAAATATAAATAAAAATCAGAAAGGTGTCTTCTTCTGGCTGTTGTCTTTGTACAGTGTTATAAAAACCCTGCTCAATCTAGCAGATATTTTATAATATAGGTTAACTAAATTATGAAATTAATATTTTCAACAATTTCTTTATGAAACTATATTAATAACCTTAAATACCTAGTATAAAATCAGACTCTACACCCATTACTTTCTACAACCAAAATAACTTATTTAACGAGGCTGAACAAACTAGTTTTGTACAACAAAGCGGTACATTGATTACATTGGAAAAATAAGACCTAATAATAGAAATAGCACATTATATATGTATATCCTTTTAAGAATCCTTGTTTTGGAGATGTGGTGTCCTGCAGAGTGGTCCAATAAGAGAGAGAGAAGAACTTTTACAAAGACTTAACTAGTCTTCTATTCTCTACCTTTGATCATCATTCCATCCCATCTCATGTGGTGGTGCTTAAGACCACCTGGCTTCCTCCAGGGTAAAAATGCGAACTCAACTTTGGTCGTTAAACACACCCGGGCACTCTTGCTCCTACAACAACAATTTAAGGGGGTTAGAGAGGGGGTAATTTGTTCTAGTAGACATCTTCACAACAAGGCTGACCAGTTGCCTCTTAATAAGACCTTGCATACAACTACAATGCTACTCAAATAGAACAAATATATTAGGATTATCTTTAGCCTAATTACCTTGGCAGTTTGATGTGATGATACCTAATGTTAATCAAAGCGCTGGTTTTACATAGAGTGAGCTTATCTCTTTTATTTTGTTAAATTCATAAAGGTATTTCTATATATGTATCTGATGCCACCAGAAATTGTGAGGTCCCTTTCAAAACCACTTGTTAGGTTCCCCAAATATAGATTCCCAGACAAATATTCATACCAATACACTTTTCCTGGTACAGAGATTCACACCCAGATACACTCTTCAAGATACACAAACACATTGCCAGACACATGCATTCACAGACACAAACACACTCACATTTAAATACATTTTAGGCACAATCCTGTCTGCCTGCCTTTTTACCCCAGGAGGGGTCTGGTGGGAGCATGTTGAAACAGGTTACTGGCTCCATTTGAACTTCTATTTGACTTCCTTAGAGCTTGAGGAGGAAATTATAATAAAACAGGAGAGGCCAATCCATAAATTTAGTCAAGAGATTTCTCTCTTCCAAACCAACTTGTAATGGAATTTATCTTTCTTCTTCTCATAGTCTGCGGTACACATGGAACGTTTGTCACATTTCTGCTGAATCCTTCCAATGACGAGTCAAGTATTTTAATGATCAAAGCTCAATAACGTGTCAGCATGGAAAGTCAAAAGATTGGAGCTCCCAACAATCTATACTTTGTTGTTGCAGCATGTCAAACCGTTCTCTAACTAAACTGTCATTTTTATATCTCAGAGTCACTCAGACACAGTCGTTTATAGACATGCTGCTCTCCTTGGCATTTTTACACAGGGCTGAAGACGATGTAGACTAAACGCAGATGGAACCATAAAAGCATTTCATTCTGAAATAAAAACAAACAAAGAATGGTTTTACAGAAATCTGGCATGCAGAAAGAAATGTTCTGATTTAGGAGAGTCAGTCAACGGTCTTTGTATGCTGCTATCTCTCTACTCCTCATAGCAGATAGTGCTTCAGTCCTGCACAGTCCCATCTCAGTGTGTTAAGGGGTCTTATCAAAACAGCACTGTGACCTGTGAGTTTTTCATAAAATAGATTCTTTATGGAGAAACCTTATGAATGCACTGAAACTCCACTGAAATTCTAAAGTCATAAAAAGATGACTTGAGACAAAGTTTGGGGCTACATTGTATTTGTTATCTTGTTTAGGACCTGGTTTCTAACCTGTGGCTTGTTTACACCAGTGGTTACGCCTAGCCCCAAAACAGGGCTACGCCAAGAGCTGGCCGGCTGGGTAGGTGCCGATCTACCCAGATGTCATGTTCCTTACTTTGCCCAAATATACAGTGTCCCGGGAGAGGATGTAATCTGTGCTCTTCCATCACTGCTCCCTGCAGTGATTCCGGGAGCCAGGTTATGATGTCACTCTGGCTTTGCTGTTCTATGGGCATCAGGTGTACTTTTGACATTTTCTAGACCTGCAGGGTTACTTCTCAGTGTTGAAAAACACTGGTAGAACATGCTTTTTTTTTTGGCAAAATGTGGCAATTGGCACAGTTCTCAACGCCATACCCTGCCCTTTTCCTTGAGCCATTAGTTACAATAAATTAGTTACCATTACAACTGAAAATAAGCATAGTTTTATGTTATATGCAACGGATACTTTGGCACGTCATTGAACTAGTGCAAGTACTGAAAATTTAAAGATATCAAAAGTGATGTGTATAATGTTTGTTATTATATAGTCACATTTATATCTTCAGTCTCCGCTACTCAGTTTTCTTGCTAACAAGCTTATTCTGTTTTTTTCTCAAACAATACATTGGCTTTGGGCCAGGGGTTTCATTTCCAGTTAACACTCTGGATTGCTTATTTTATAAATACATTCTGTGCTCATCCCTCCTTGTTAGTTGGCTGGGATAATTGCATGTTTAACGTTCCAAAACAACCATTAAAAATGTTATGATTTCAAAGATCAAAATGTTCTGTTGTCAGATATATCTTATTTGGCTTATTTCTATTGGATTTTTAGCTATCTGTTACCTCAAAAGACCATTTTACATTTATATTGTGGCCACTATTATCTAAAATACATGTTAGGAAAGTATAAGAATTCTCCAGCTACTCACTAAACTTAAAAACAAAAAAAAAAAAAAACCCCAAAGCCTGCATTATATATTTGGGGACCCTGACATTTCTCAGAGCAACACTGGTGCCAGGGTGCCACTGACGAGGATGACCTGCTATTTGACTCCAGACTACATACAGTAAGAGAAACTCTACCACTGCCAGTATGTACACAAACCACTATGAACCCACAAACCTTGTACTATTTTGAATTTACCGTGCTTGACTGACATACTGCATGTAGCATGGGATGCTGGCAGAGCCAGATTAAGTTTGTTCAGGGCTGGCTACCAAAATAATGACAGATTAACTGTCACTTTTCAGAATACCTTAATAGACATCCTCTATAATTTGGAGAAATTTGAAGGTTTCGGTGACCAACAACGGATGACCAACCCATTGGGAAGAAGCACAAAATCTCTATCTTCCTGCTTTCTTAAAGATGCCTGTTATAATCCATACTGGGAAGTTGCTTTAAAGGAACTCTATAGCGTTCGGAATACAAACTTATTCCTACCGCTATAGTGTCCTACTCTTGACTATGATTCACGGCCCCCCTAAGTCAAATTGAATAAAATAATTTTTAAAATGGTTTTACTCACTCAGACCAGCCACGTGCTCTGCCTCCAATGAAGCTCATGTGTGGCGAACGCAGTGCTCATCTAATCAAATGCTTCTCATAGGGAAGCATTGAATCCCAATGTATAACGTACATTTATACACAATGGAATCAAGCAATGTGTAAAAAATTTTTTTTTAAATGCTGTACTGTCAGACTACTTGACTCTCGGAGCCTGGGTGAAACTTTTGCTGATTGCTGAGTTGCAACTTGCATCATCCTGACATCTCAACTCTGCTGATGGAGATAAACTTCTGGGTGGAAACCTTAATAACGTTCAGAGGGCTGTGGGCAGTTCAACAAATAGTCCTCCTACATGGCACTCTAAATGACCTGACCTATTAGAATCGAATTTGCAATTTGCTTACTAAACAGAGAAAATGATTGTAACGGCTAATAAAATCCCAATTGTCGTGCCTATTCAGCTTGTTCCACCACTTAACAGCAAATTCCTTATCTTTTGATTTTCCTTTGCTTCCCAGGATTTCTGTGTCTTTCTCTAGCATTCTTGAACTTGTCCACTCTGTTAGATTCTCCCTCCTCTACGGGAAGGGTATTCCTGGCATCTACAACAATTTTCCATAAAACTGGAAGGTGATTGTATAGTGGGGTCAAGCAATTCGCTATATATTTAAACCAAAAACTTGCCTTCACCAAAATGAACTGCATTGAAGAAAAGGTGTAGGGAGTCGTGTGTTCCATCACTAAACCAAATGACTACCCATGTTCGGGTATCTTATTCACTATCTATATGCAAATGCATTTTCTGTCAGTTTCTATCACCCAAGTAGTAGGGATCCATTTTGGAATGCATTATGAGCTACTTGTTCTAGACATTTTGAACTATTTATGGAGAAATAATTTTTTTACCTCGACTACACCGTTGCCACCAGAAATTAGTATAGTCTATTAATTTCTATCTACACATAGATTTGAATGACTTTTAGTATCTTTTTTATTTTATTTTTTTACATTTTATAATATTAAAATTGGAAAATTTCTGCTTCTTTTGATTGAAGAAGATTAGAAAAAAAAATATCATTTTGTAAATTTCCAATATATATATATATATATATATATATATAATTTTTTTTTTTTTTTCCTTTTAGTTATCTTTTCAAAAGCACCTAGTACTTCTAAATTAGATGCTGCTTATGACTTAAAACGTTTTGCATGATCATACCTCTCTAATAAAAACCCTTAGAAATATGGATTAATCTGTGAGACTGAAGAGTTAGCATAGTAAAAAATCTGTTAACACTGTCCAGTCTTTCTCAGCGTATATCTCTCCAGAATCCCCAAATACTGCCTTTTCACTAAAAAAAATAATTTGATTGATGAGGTCAAGTCGCACTTTATACCTACAGGAAAAAAAGGACTTCTTCCCGCAAGAAGATCTATAATCCACTTCAATTTTACGCAGCATCTTTTATTCCTTTACCAAGTGGGAATAAGAAAATCAAAAAGTGCATTTGTATCCATTTTCTTTTGGCAGTTCAATCAATTACTGTTATATAAATCTTTTCTTGGCTCACATCTGTTTAGACAAGCTGTTTATCAAATGTCATCTGCTGAACAGAGAAGCAACACATTAAATTTCATTTAAGAAATGAAGTTTAGCTAGCTATGGAGGGTTTTTTGTTAGATGTGTAACTCTCAGTCTGAAGACCCTCTTTACCTTTGTAAAATGTAAAATCTTTTTAAGGAATTATTAATAGTAATTGGGTACTTCTCATCACAAATAAACTGTATCATTGTAGCATCATCATGGTCCACTAGGGCTAATATAGAAATCCATTTGTGCATTAGCAGAGATTTACTCCAGTGTTCAAACAGGGAAGATGCTGCCTGAAGACTTTGTACATAATAACCACTAGAATGAGCTGTAGGTGTTATGGTACTTAGAAGCCCAACTTTAAAGCAGATCTGTCACATTTGGTGTTCTTTACACAGGTTGCAAAGACCCCCGACGGTGGCATCTCCAGTTAGGGCTAGGTGGCTACGGAGTGTCTTAAAAGGTAGTTTTACTTACCTGAGGGTGTCCCTTGAAGCCATCACTATCTTCTTCCTAGAGACCTTCTTTGGCTCATGGTGCTTCATCTTGCATAAACCACATCAGTGCTGTACTCCCGCAATAATGCAGGAGCCCCCATAGGTCACGTCTCCCGATGCCTGAATCTCACAGCTCTCACTTATAATGACTGCTGGGCTTGGACAAAAGCTGATGACATAGCTCCACATTTTGTCAATCTCAGACTTTAGATAGAGTTGGAATGTCAGGAACATTCCAACGCAGTGTGCATGAGTATTTCATAAAGATTACATCTTTATGAAATACTAAGAAGTGATTATTATTCATTCATTCGTGGTTTGGCTCAATTCAGATGCTGCAAAGCCTGGAGATTTGCATCAAGTTTTTTTTTGCAAATTTTTCTAACTAAAATAAGTAGGTAAAATTTAGCCAGGGTTGTTGTTGTTTAAAAGGAGTTATGAGGAAGGTTTAATGCATGAAGTGGGGGGTTGATGCTTAATTTACAAGGCCCCCTGCTCCTTGGTTCCACTATTGACCTTAAAGGAACACAATATTTATATCAGGAATGGAACACTATGATTATGTTTGGAATACAAACATGTATAAATGATCTCATTCAATATTTATGTGACACTGAAACTAGAATTTAATTAAGACTTTAACCTTTAAAATTTTTATTGATATTCATAACAGTGTGATTAAAATGTTAGCTGTCTTGTTCCCCCAAAGGTACGCATTTTTGACATTTTCCACATGTTTTCATTTCTAGATTTCACTTTTAAAGTGGACCGGTCATCCAGAAAACCATCTTAGTGTACTCTTTTGTGAGTAATTTAGTTTAATCTCTTCATTTTTCTAACAAACATTCATGTGGTGAGAAATTCACGTACCTTTACTTCCTTGTTTATGCGGTGGAATGCCAAAATGCACCTGTGATCAGTCCTAGAATGGGTATTGCTATATGTAGCAAAGTCAGGAAGTAGCATATATACGGGGAGATCAGAGTTTTGGGTGTCTCTGATTAACTGGCAATTCAGGTTCTAGATCCTCATAGGACAGAGGGAGATTAGATCCTTTAGTAAACGGAAAGCTAATAGCTGTTATGTTCCTCTATAAATAAGTAGTTAGTAACACTTCTTTGTGTATCCTCTTCAGCAAACTGAAAGGGTTACTCCAGACACTATGACAATTTCAGTAATGTGGTCATGGTGCCTATAGTCTTTATGTGTAGCATTTCGCTCTCAACACTGCAGGTACAGAGAGTAACCCTTCAGGTCACTTGAAACAAACAGGTTGTCAAAGGTGACAGAATATAAAGTGTTAATGTATATAATGGACTTCGTTCATAAGGCTTGGGTGAGGCAGGGTTGGTAGATTGAGCCAAAAGGTAAATCTATACTATACCAAGTAATAGTATGGATTAAAGGGGTAGCACAGAAAAATCATGAAACATACGACCTGTACATAATACAACACAATTCTCCAAAGAATCTAAAACATAAAAGAATCACATAATAGTGAAGTATGTACAGAAATATATAGTTCAATCCCGTAGGTAGAGAATTTACAAGACCGTGCTGTAGATCTGCGCTTATCTCCCTTCCGTAGGGTATATAAATAGCGTATCCTTTTTTTGGTAAGCTTGTAATGTAGACCAAAGGAGTATATTCGGAACACCCAATCCTCAAAGGAAAAGATGGTAGATTGTTGACTTGGAATATTTTCAGCTGTTCTGTATTTCAGTAGCACAGGAATAAAAATGACAGATATGGTGGTCATAATTAAATGAACACTCCGAACACCATAACCACTACACGGTTTGACTTCTTATTTGCAGTCCACTAGGAACCGCTCCTAGCCTCCACTGCAGACAGAAGTTCTCAGCCAATTCCAGCAAACTGTGGAATCGTGTGTATATTTTCGTGTTGTAAGTTACTCGTCTAAGGATTTTATTCGTATTATCAGGAGAACCAAGATCCTGATATATGTTATGGATGCAGGCAGCCATGGCTTTTTGAACTGTGCTTTGTGCATTGTGGGATTGCATAGATATTTATATATCCACCTGCACCAGCATAGATGTGGTTTCTATTTCCATGCCAGTTAAATTGATCCATTTTAAATCTTAATGAAATGATCCAGAGGTATGGTAGCAATTTTGACAGCATTAAATGTTATCTTTCCACCATATTTAAAAATCGGGCCCTTTTCCCACCAACACTAGCAGTTTTTTTTTACCTTACACTTCCTTTGGTAAACAAGGGAAGATGCTTTGATTTCCTTACAGAAAAAAAATTAAATTCCTTGCTGCCTTTGTGTTTTTAAGCAAACTTTTCCTGTTTGTAACAGAAAAGCTTAACTGAATGGCTCTGGACAAAAATGTGATATAATAGGAGGTGCAAGACGCCAAGGGCAACAGGAAATCAAATTGCTATTGTTTATGTTATAATATGATGTTGTTAAAGAATTAAACAATAGGTTGTATTACTAGGGGGAGGACGCAGTGTCCACAGAACGCAGGGCTGAGCGTAACATGGTTTTGCTGTGACACTTGCTATAGCAGGGCTATTTAACCTCATCAAACAGAATACATTGGAGGACTATTCCATGCCTTAGGCTATACAAGCAGACCAAGAATTAATGTTAGTGTTACTTAAGTCATTGCAAGTCAGGATGAGAACACTAGATATTCATGTGGAGAGCACATAACATATTAAAAGCTATACTGTTGTGTGAGGTTTTTTTTTTTTGTATAACATGATAGCTGATTGAAAGTTAGCTGTGGGTTGTGCCTTTTTTTTAATGACCATTTTTAGTTTATACTACACACCTCGTCCAGAGTCAGAAAATCCATGTAAATGAACGTTCGTTGATATCAATTTCCCACTAGATGTGTGTACGCCACTGTGAAAGGAATGACAAAGCATATACTGCTCTGCAGAGCATCATAGGATGATAATCATGTGTGTAGCTTGTGGTGGGGCGGGGGGGAAATCCCACCAGAAAATATATTGGGGCATGAGTTCCACGACAGCCATAACAGTGCAGGTTTTAAAATCCTATGTTTTGATGCTTATGAAAGATGAAAAAATAAACATAGTTGGTAATTTTGACATATTGGTTAAAAGAACCCTGTAGGCAACCAGACCACTTCATCTCATTGAAGTGATCTGGGTGCGGAGTCTGTTTCCACTTAGCCCTGCAATGTAAAACATTAGTTTTAGAGAAATTGCAATGTTTACATTGCCGAGTTAAGACTGTCTAATATGCAGCCACTGGAGGCACTTCCTCAATTCACATCAGGACGTCCAGCGTCTTGAAAAATCCTGATTCAGTGCTTTCCCATGGGGTGCATAAGGTTTCCGGATCATCGTGATGTATTGTATGCCTAACACTCTAGTGTTCCTTTAAAGCAATTACATTTTCAACCAGACACAAAAATATCAATGGATACACTTTAATAAATAACTTTTTTATTCCTAAAAAATTCCTAGTGTTATATTTTCCTAACACTATAATGTCCCTTTGCCTCCAAGGCCCCACCCATTCATGGAAGTGTTAAAATCCCTTTCTTCCACTGACCTGATCCAGCATTGGCACTGGATCGTGCTCCTTCTTGTCAGTCGATTCGGGAAACCTAATCTGCACACACAGCAAGTGCCACGTGTGCATTAGGCCTTCCCCATAGGAAAGCATTATTTCTTAATAAATATTTCAAGAGATGATGAAGTAAAACTTGCGAGTTATGACATCTCCATATGAGGTGGGCTGACTTGGGGAACTATTGAAAATGGTTCGACTAGAGCTGGAGTGACTGCAGCCATATCTCACCATAACTGCTGTTATTTTTTTTTTTTTATAAAGCGTTACTTTATATGTTATATCTTTATTCAACTTTACACTGCACTAAGCTTTAGTGGTTATGGTGCTTGGAGTTTCCATATCCATATAACAAGTATATTGGCCCGCCGGCACTGACCACACTCCCTTGGTGACCTCATCAGAAATGCCGATTTTTTTTAGCCAATCCAATGCTTTCCCACAGGGAAAGCATTGGATTGGCTAAAATCAGCAAGGGGTAGGGCCAAACACTGTTTTGGCCAATCAGGACCTCCTCATAGAGCTGCATTAAATCAATGCATCTCTATGATGAAAAGTCAGCATCCCCATGCAGGGCGTGGAGACGCTAAACGGCAGTGCAGCTCTGAGCAAAGAAAGCACCTCCAGTAGCCATCTGAGGAGTGGCCACTTGGAGGTGTCCCTGGGGGACATGTAAACACTGCCTTTTCTCTGAAAAGGCAGTATTTACATGAAAATGCTTGAAGGCAATGATTACGCTCACCAGAACAACTACATTAAGCTGTCATTGTTCTGGTGAACATAGTGTCCCTTTAAACAAAGGAAATTAACTTTGGCTGTCTTTTGCAGCAAATAGGTTTTGAAATAATGCATGAATGCTTGGAATCTTGTTTCAGATTTGCAACACAAGAATATAGCAATTATAAAAATTAGGAAATGCTTATTCAGCAGCAAACAATATAGTCCAAGTGACTTCAATGAGGAATAATTAAATAAGCAGTAAGTGGGTATAGTCCATAATATTTCATCAAAGGACCACTCTAGGCACCCAGACCACTTCAGCTTAATGAAGTGGTCTGGGTGCCAGGTCCAGCTAGGGTTAACCCATTTTTTTTTATAAACATAGCAGTTTGAGAGAAACTGCTATGTTTATAAATGGGTTAATTCAGCCCTCAAAGCCTCTAGTGGCTGTCTCATTGACAGCCGCAAGATTCGTTTGCGTGATTCTCACTGTGAAAATCACAGTGAGAACACGCAAGCGTCAATAGGAAAGCATTGTAAATGTTTTCCTATGAGACCGTCTGAATGCACGCGCAGCCAGCCGAATGGGAGGATAGGAGGAGGATAGGAGGATCGGAGGATCGGAGGAGAAGAGCTCCCCGCCAGCGCTGGAAAAAGGTAAGTTTTAACCCCTTTCCTCTCCACAGAGCCAGGCGGGAGGGGGTCCCTGAGGGTGGGGGCACCCTCAGGGCACTATAGTGCCAGGAAAACGAGTATGTTTTCCTGGCACTATAGTGGTCCTTTAAGGTTGCCAGAGCAGGTGAAACCTGAGGTACAAAGTATAAGTCTCTTAGTATAAAGAAATAACTTGGTAATGAATTATCCTGGTATGTGAAGTGGTTGTAGTTAGTAGGCTCCAATAGCAATAATTAATACCATTGAGGCAAATGATATTTCAAATAGATATAGCAAGTAGAATCTCAGAGGCAGACTTTGGATAACCCTTATCCTTCCCAGAAACTTGCGGCTAGAACCAATTAGTAAATACAATCATAGGATAACTTCTCTTTCCTTAAAGAATCACTATAGTGTCAGGAAAACAAACTTGTTTTCCGGACACTATATAACCCTTAGGTTCCCACCCTCAGGGTCCCCCTCACGCTGGGCTGAAGGGGTTAAAACCACTTACCTTAATCCAGCACCGGGCTCCCTCTGTGCTGGTGACCTCTCCTCCCCCGCCGACGTCAGCTCCCAAGTAATGCGGAATGCACGGGCGCGGCAAGAGCCGCACGCGCATTCAAACAGTCCATAGGAAAGCATTTCTCAATGCTTTCCTATGGACGTTCTGCATGCTGAATGCGATTTTCGCATCCAGCGTTGCAGAAGCGCCTGTAGCGGCTGTCAGGAAGACAGCCACTAGAGGCTGGATTAACTAGAGGCTGGTTTTCTCTGAAACTGCTATGTTTACATCTAAAGGGTTTAAACCTGAGGGACCTTGCGCCTAGACTACTTTATTGAGCTGACGTGGTCTGAGTGACTGTGTCCCTTTAATGAATGATGGGAGTTTAAGTCCTTCCAATGTAGATTGATTTATGGTTCCTTGAAGTAACTGAAGAGATGCAGGAATCCGAAGTTAAGTCTGTTTCTTGACTGGCAGAGTAGAATGGAGCATAGCCAGTAACAAAGCCAGAGGTTCAGTACACAGGAATTCAAATGAGCAGAGTTCTGCAGGGAAACAGCAACCATGTAGTAAGAAGCGAGAGCACATCAACCAAGGAAGATTGACAGAGAGAGATTGATTGAGCACCTGAGATCAGGTGCAGCTTCCTTTTAACTCAGGAAGGGATGACATCACAAGCATATGGGGCTAAATGTTGATCTGGCTGGAATCAAATATGGAAAAATTCCCAAACAACGTGAGGGAATCCTGACAGACATGCATAAGTACATCAAGGATATTGCAAACTTGCAGCACGTTAATCTGTAAAGAGAGCGTTATCAAGTAGACCGCATATGCATGAATTTAAAATGATGGTAGAGAACAGCAGAGAGAGGGATATGCACATACAATGATAATCCTGCAGTCGATCATACTAGCATAAATGATACATAGCTTTAAAAATAATAATAAGATGAGAATGGACAATTACCAATTGCTTCGAGCATATAACACAAATGAAAACAACGTGAACTATAGGCAATTTTTGAGTAATTCAGCTACTGTTGTGTGGCCCAGTGAAAACAGGATCAGGCCGTGGGTTGTTGGAAACAAATACAGTTGATCTATGATCACCGGATTCCCTCTGAAGGCAGAACTGTTCCGCACAATATTAAGAAGCCTAATGACCATTGGCATAGGTGTGAATATCTGTCAAAACTGACAGAGATGAAACTCACAGGCTGCGGTGGCAACTGCTGTGTGGAGGTAACTTTGATCACCAGGTAGGTATGAAGCTGTGTCCTTCTGAGATTAGGATAGTACCAGCATGGGGGTTCCTCTCCCTCTGGTGGAAGGGGCTTGATTTTTATGACTTCCAGGGTTGTGTCTAAATGTGCAACCTCAATCTTGTGTGGGTTGGCCCCCCTGTGTGCATAGAAGGAACCTCTGGTGCCGAATTCACAAGAGTTGTAGATGCCTGTTGCTGTTGTGTAATGGGACGCAGTCGGTGATGGAGCTTGGTCCAGAAGTCTGCAAGCACTCGGTCTAGGCCGGTCAGAATGTCAGGCGGCTGGAATAAGTGACATGGAGTAAGTGTATTCTTGAGTGGGCTCGGCAAATAGCGGAGAGTCCACGGGAAGAGGGATCGTCCGCCATTGGATTTACTTGTGTGCTCATTGTATAATGAGTATAATCGAGTATTATAAAGCAGTATCTGTTGTGTATGGGGTCGTTTCATAACGGAATAAAATAGAATATATTACCTTTTCACGTCTGTTCTCTGTTTTTATCCGCAATGATATGATTTGCATGGCAGTAATCTGTTTTCTATTTTCCTTTGCAGAGAGCAGGAGAAGAAAAGACCCACCATGCCTGAAGAATGGATGCATCTTGCTGTTGTAACATGTGGGGATCGTTTAGAAGAGACTGTTACAATGCTGAAATCTGCTATACTTTTCAGCAAAAAAAGGATTAAATTTCACATCTTTGCAGAGGATTCCTTAAAAACAGAGTTTGAAAGCAAAGTAAGTGAAGAAGAATGTACTGGTTTGGACTTAAACATCAACAAAAAAGCAGTTCCATTGTTCACATCTTAAAACTGAATTTTGTTTGCAAATTTCATCCACACGTTCAACCACTTTGCAATCACAAAGAAAAAAGGGTGTTTTACACTGTACTTGCAAGTTATATAAGAGCACTTGGTTTGCACAGCTGAATGTTTCTCTGTAGTTCTAGAGTTGTTGTCGTCATGTGATGTTAGGCTGTCCTTTAACACTCTCCTTTTCTTCTTGGATGATTAATCAGCTTCATGGGACTTAGAGTTCCAATTCAGATATTTAATTACATTTAAATTTCAGTTCTATTGTTGTGAATATAAAGGTGTCTTTAAGTGTGGTGTCAGTGTGTGAGTGCAAAGGTCTTTCTGATTATTTGTATATCGTGTCAGGGTGTGTGAATGCAGAGGTGCACTTGTGAGGCGTGCCATTCTAAGACTACGGGGTTGTGTGTGTGTGTGTGTGCGCGCAGATGTGTATATGTACCACTTCCAACTCTCTCTACCATTTGACATTTTACCCCTTCCCCTTTTATACTTAACTCAACTTTGTGTCAGCCATGATGCAAAAATTACATCTTGCTTATAAATTAATTTATGGGCACTCTTTGAGGCTGGAAATAAACTAATGAAGGTATCTTCCATAATGAGTTTTCTAGTACTGCCAAGCAGCTAAACAAAATGGCTCCCTGTGATAAAAATGGGTCACCAAGAATTAGTTCCCTATCAAAAAGATTAAACAGGAACGTTCACTTCTCACTGTTTTTAATATGTCGATTCACATATCCCCTATATTTAAAATATATGTGTTTGTGAGATCTGAAAAATAAAATCCTGGAAATGAGCACCTACATCTTGGCTCCCATTACTCATTTTTAAAAAAGTTGGCTTTTGCTTGACAGTATCTGTGGAAGACTTGTTTTTGTCTACGCCAAACCAAGGATTTGTACTGTTTACAGTAACAAGATTAGATAACATCCTACTGGCCTTTCTTAGAGCACAAATCAAGAGATCAATTTTCAACCAATTTGCAAAGTAAATTTAAAAAGTGCCATTTTATACAGTTTAACATGAATAAATATTCTGCAATTTATTGATATATAATATATTACTACTAATAATTAATAATATTATTAAAGATATTTTAAAACATTTCAGACTCTTAAAGAAATTCATGTGTGAAGAGTGTGTCCTCACTTTTCATTTTACAAAAAGTACTGATTTCAATAGAAATTTGCACTTTTTAAAATTAAAATGGTTACACCCCTCTGGCTTTCAAGCAGACAACAGGTCATGTTACTTCCTGTTTTTTTTAGTTCAGTGGAGCTAAACTCAAGAGGCAGCAATTGCTCAGAGCACCTGCCTTCCATAGACTTCACATTGAGCTGCATTGGGAAGTATGTGATTGGATAGACACAGACAATCTGGGCGGTGTTAGAAGGGGAGGGCTTGCAAAGGAAGCAGAGAAGAGATCTCCCACTTTTGCAAACTGTTTTTAGAATTACCTGCAATTAAAAAAAAATCATAAATAAATGCATATTTTCACAAGGAGTAAGCCGTGATTTTTATATATATTTTTGTTTGGGCAGTGGAGTGTCCCTTTAAGCATTTTTTTTTCTTTCCTCTTCCAATTGCAAACTCCATTTTTTGAAAATCGTAATTTTTCCCCACTACTCTAAAGTGTACTCCAGAGAGAATCTGGAATTAATAAATAGGCCCTAGTAGTGTGGTAAATAAGAAAGTAATGTGTATGTGGACTACAGTAAACCCGGAATTGTGCTGAAAGGAACAAAATCAATTCAACCTCGAAACCACAATAGCCAAACTTTAACTAAGTTCGAGAATGTTTCCAGTTTTCCCTTCTCAAATCCCTGCAATTCTTAGTTTAGTGAATACATGACACATTTTATGGAGAAAAATAAACTACAATTAAAGTTGGAGTGTGTGAGCAAGTGAAGAAAGATCAAGAGGAACAGACAACGGTGTGGATGAAAGAGAGAAGTTGATGCCTTCAACTGATGATCACCGCACATCTTACTAAACCAAAATATACCACAAAAATGTTTTACACAAGGTTTGATAATCAATCATGATGGTGACAGATACACACACACACACACACACAAAGAAGCTAGTTCATTAATCAACTGCTTTTGTTGCTTGCTTCTTAAACAGTTTAAAGAATGGCCAAGTGCCGCCTCCAGAAAGTATGAATATAACATTTACCCAATTACATTTTCGGTTGGAAACGCTGAGGAATGGAAGAAACTATTCAAACCCTGTGCTGCTCAACGTCTCTTTCTTCCGGTAAGACAGACACCTGCTTTTTATAAACATGTTTTTTTGTTTTTTTTTATATTTATTTCTATCCTTTCCAAGGTCTGTTCAGACTGCAGATGTAAGCAGTTGAGATCTGAGGCATCTTGCACATTTTTTTATACACATGTCTACAATCTGCCCCTAGGAAGGAATTTTGCCTTTTTCCTGAATATACTTTTTCTATTTTTTCATTTATTTTATAATTTTCAGAAGAGAGATCTGTTTTTTTTTATGAATAGATGGGTAGATGGCTAAATATTTTGATGGATGTATTGTCTGATGGAAGGAGCATTGCATGAAAGGCGATCAAAATAGATATAGTTGAATAAGGTTTTTTCCCCAAAGGAGTGAAAGTAAAAATTGCTTGTTGCTGAATAAATTAATAGTTCAGCCGACAAGTTAGGTAGGGTTGTGTGTGTGTGTGTGTCTGTTTGTTGACAAAAACAAGTGAAGATATCCCTGTTAAAGTCTAGCATACAATCTAGCATTAATTGATTAAAGGACCACTATAGTGCCAGGAAAACATACTCGTTTTCCTGGCACTATAGGGTCTCTAGGTCCCCCGCCGGGCTCTAGAGGGTGGAAGGGGTTAAATCTCACCTGTTTCCCCCCCGCCGGGCTCCCTTGGTGCGGGGAACTCTCCTCCTCCTTTTCGCCGGCATCGGCTGAATGCGCATGCGCGGCAAGAGCCGTGCGCGCATTCAGCCAGTCCAAAATCACAGTGAGAAGCGTGGTAGCGCCTCTAGCGGCTGTCAATGAGACAGCCACTAGAGGCTGGATTAACCTTAAAGTAAACATAGCAGTTTCTCTGAAACTGCTATGTTTACAGTAGAAAGGGTTAAACCTAGATGGACCTGGTACCCAGACCACTTCATTAAGCTGAAGTGGTCTGGGTGCCTATCGTGGTCCTTTAAAGGGACACGATAGTCACCAAAACAACTACAGTTTATTATATTTGTTCTGGATAGTAGAATTATTCCCTTCTGGCTTTTTGCAGTAAACACTGTCTTTTCAGTGTGTTTACTGAAAACATTGTGTTTACTTTACAGCCTATTTATAACTCCACTGGCCACTCCTCAGATGGCTGCAAGAGGTGCTTCCTGTCATTCAGTGTCTTCTCTTTCTGCATGGAGACACTGCACTTCCCTCACAGAGATGCATTGATTCAATGCATCTCTATGAGCAGATGCTGTTTTGCCAGGGCTGTGTTTGACTTGTGTTGGCTCTGCCCCTGATCTTCCTCCTTGACAGTCTTAGCCAATCCTATGGGAAAGCATTGTGATTGGCTCAGAGATTCACTTCTGATTATGTCAGCCAAGCAGGCAGATCAGGGGCGGGCGCAGCAGCTGCAGACTTGAATACAAGTAGGATGTTACTATATTTAGGAAGGCAAGGTGGGCTACAGGGTGGTTTAACACTATAGTGTGTGGAATACATGTTTGTGTTCCATGACCCTATAGTTTTCCATTAAATAAAGTGATGAGTATCAGTTAGGTTTCTGCAAATGAGCCCTTTTGCGGGTTTGTTTTTTCTGGTAATCAACCAACTTCGATTTAAGTTCTTCACACTGGCTAGAATTCTCCCTCTCTCTCTCTCTCTCTCTTCCAGCTGTTTTGAGACATGTTGATTTTGAACACATTCTTGTAGGATTAGATGAATCTGTTCTGTGCTTTCCTGAATGGCATAATCAAATGGTGTGCATCTTACCGAATATACCGACTCTCTTTCTATTATGTATGAATGCAAAATAAAAAGTTACAGAACTCTAGAACATTCCTGCAAGTGATAGAGCACTGACTCATACTGATTATTTTTTATTTTTTTTAAATTTATTTTGCTGCATTAAACCTCATACGTCATGGAACCACCCCTTTTCTCATACCTCCAAGAGGAAGTGATGAGACGCCTAGGAGGAAATTTACACATGGACGTTCTGCACGCTGAATGCAATTTTTCTCTGTTATTTTCTATCTCAGATCTATCTAGTTCAACTAAATGAAAAATCGCTAAACAGGTGATGGTTTACATTTACCCATGTTTATGAATTCTCTTTTTTGTAAAAACCTGGTAAGGGCAGGAGATGTAATTAACCTTCACACCATGCTGTATCTGTAGCCAGTGAGCTGCCATTTTTTTTTTTTAATCGAGGCATTTTCACAAACTAATTCCTGAGCAATTCGTAGACCTTCTTGCCTAATCTGGGCACTCCAGTTTGCACCTATTAATGACCTAGTTAACCCCTTAAGGACACATGACATGTGTGACATGTCAAGATTCCCATTTATTCCAGAAGTTTGGACCTTAAGGGGTTAAAGGAACACTATAGGGTCAGGAACACAAACATGTATTCCTGACCCTATAGTGTTAAAAACTCTATCTAGCGCCCCAGGTCCCCTCTTATTCCCCTAAATATAATAAAATTTGTCAGCAGTCTGCTGCTGCTGGCTCTGCCCCTAATCTGCCTGCTTGGCTGACATCATCAGAAGTTTTGATCAAAAGCCAATCACAATGCTTTCTCATAGGATTGGCTGGGACTGTCAAGAAGGCGGATCAGGGGCAAAGCTAGCACAAGCCAAACACAGCCCTGGCCAATCAGCATCTCCTCATAGAGATGGCTTGAATCAATGCATCTCTATGAGGAAAGTTCAGTGTCTCCATGCAGAGGGTAGAGACACTGAATGTCAGTCACACTATGCAGCACTGCCCCAGGAAGCTCCTCTAGTGGCCAGTGCAGGTATCCTTAGGCTGTAATGTAAACACTGCTTTTTCTCTGAAAAGACAGTGTTTACTGCAAAAAGCCTAAAGGGAATGATTATACTCACCAGAACAAATACAGTAAGCTGTAGTTTTTTCTGGTGACTATGGTGTCCCTTTTAATAATATCAGGACCTAGATTATTGTTAAATTAACTAAAAATGTATGTATCTATCAGTCTGTCCTTTTCTCATTTTCTCTCTCATCTCCAGATCAATTGATTGTCGGTCTATTACCGTCAGATAGATTGCTAGTCTCTCTGTATCTGTTATCTCACAATCCTTTAAGGCGGTCATCAAGGCTCATCATTTATTTCGGGAATTGCACAGTAAATAACGTCAGTGAAGAACTTAAAAGAAACTGTTGGCCACCATGCAAAGAAAAGACATTCATGAAAAATGTTGCTGTGACACGTGGTTTTCCAAATAACCCGACATCTGTACAACAGATGCGTGGCTTGATATGCAGAGAAGAGGGATAAGGAGGGAGGATGTGGGTATGAGAATGTGGTTGCAGAAAAAATGGATGAGTGGGTGTAGGCAGCAGGTGAGTGGAAAAACAGAACTACAGAGGTCCAAAAAAAAGCAGCATGCTCTATAGAACTGTATGTGTGTATGGTTGAAGGAGGGAGGCACAGTTTGCATACTCTGTTCCTATATTATATTATTACACCTATGTGAGTGGATTTACAAGAGGTGGGATGAAATTGATTAGAGAGGTGGACCTAATGAGATAGTTAACTTGGCTAATACACCAACTGTAGAGCTTGTTCAAGCCTTAGTGGTGCAGGGTGTGTTCCTGGCAGTGTCAACCTTTAATCCTTTTCAGGTTGATAAAATATATACAATTACATTGAACAATAATGTACACTTTCTAGCCATCTATCATATCACAGATTAATAAGCTATTATTTTTATATAAATAAGAAGCATTACGTACACAAAAGAGGCTAATTTTGCTTCTATTTTTCCCTTGTGGCTTGTGCGAAGCTAAAGTGTAATTAATTAGCACATCTACAGAAAGAACAATTCACTCATAGAGTAAATAATTACCACCAGGGGGCATATGACCATAGCCTCTGCTTTTTTTTTTATTAAAGCAATTAAGTAGAAATTAATTTATAGCAAAACCGATTCCAAAGGTGTCGAAATTTATTATTACATTCCTTGTATAATAGGTTACCGTACACATTTAAGTAACAATATTTACCTTATTGTTGGGATTACGGAGACTCGCTTGTTCTGTGCACTGTAAATTTTATTCTTGCTCTTATTAATTCTAGCTAATAAAACAAATTGAATTTGAAATTATGAGATGCAGAATATGCTGCCAAGAGGCATTAGCTCATTTATTGGGTGTTACAGTGTAATAAAATAAAGAAATACACGGGGTAACAGCAATTCATTGTGTCCACATTTATGTTCAAATGTTCTCTAGAACAAAATGAGAGTTCTAAATCCCCTAAACAGTACTCAGAATTCTATCCTTAGTTCTCAAAGCCTGGAACTTGAAAGTGGTCTGCAGTGGCAGTTGTAGGTCATCCCCAACTGGAGTGCTACTGGTTAACTATACCATGTGTACTTTAATGATGAGTCAAACCAGGACTGCAAAATTTCAGCCCCAACAGCTAACACTTTTGAACATTTCTTGGTGGCAGATGATCTTAAAAGATGTGGATTCTTTGCTGTATGTGGACACGGACGTTTTATTTCTGAGGCCTCTGGATGACATCTGGGCATTTTTGCATCAATTCAATGACACTCAGCTGGCAGCCATGGCTCCAGAACATGAGATACCAAAGATTGGCTGGTACAGTCGCTTCGCCAGGCACCCGTTTTATGGAACAACTGGAGTTAACTCTGGGGTTATGCTCATGAATTTAACTCGTATCAGAAAGACACAATTTAAGGTAAGACATGTTCTTGTCACTTTACAGGTTACATTATAGTAAAGAGAGGTACAGGAATATTGCAGTCGTACAGTGTGTGTATAATTCACACGCATGTATATATGTATGTGTGTGTATATATAAATATATATTAGTGCTGTCCACTAATATTGGCACCCTTGGTAAAAATGAGCAAAGAAGGCTGTGAAAATGGCCCGTGGTTGGAGTTTTTCCAGCAGGACAATAATCCAAAATATACATCAAAATCAACAAAAATGTTTTACTGACCACAAAATCAAGGTCTTGCCATGGCCATCCTAGTTCCCTGACTTGCACACCATACAAGACCTGTGGGGGGAAAATGAGGAAGAGTCTACTAGTGCCGACCTTGAAATTTGAAGGATCTGAAGAGATTCTGTATGGAGGTATGGTCTCATATCCTTTGCTATGTATCTTGTCATATATAGAACAGGACTGGCCATACAAAGCAGCCCTGGAAAAAAAGCCCCATAAGTCATTGCGTCATATATTGTCACATGTAATATGTAAGACTATGTCTTGCCACCCCAGATGATTGAGTAATATATAAACATACACACACATATAATCATATGAAAACACAGACAATCTCACTGACAAACACAAGCTCATTGATACACAACCTCATAGACAAACAATCTCACTGCTATACATAAGCTCATTGACATAAAAACACAAGCTCACAGATGCACATACATAGGCTCACTGACAGACAATCTCACTGACACACACATACAAGCTTATTGGTATACACACAAACGTAGTACAGAGAAATTCTGACACAGACAAGCTTTCTACAGACCAGCTCACTGTCACACACACACATACTCACTACAGAAAAGCTCACTGACACACACACAAGCTCACTAGAGACAAGCTAACTGTCACACAAATGCTCACTACAGACAAGTTCACTGACACACACATGCCCCCTACAGAAAAGTTTGTAATAAACATGTTCTAGATATTCTGTGGCCACCCTTTACTTTTTCTTGTGCACGGGCCATTGGCACAATGCCACACCTACAATGGAACAGATATGATGATATACTTCTAAAACCTCGCTTTAGTGGGATCTGGTTATATATGCAGTGGAGAATCCCAGGCTTTATCAAACTGTTCCAAAACACACTGACAGAATTCAGGAGCGGTATGAACTGATTAGTAGAGCTATAATCAATGACACACGTACACACACAAGCTCACTCTCTAGCAGGCACACACATGCAAGCAAGCTCACTCACTAGCATGCACACACACACAGCTTAATGTAGTGGTTCTGGTGTCTATAGCCTGTCCCTACAGGCTTTTCAATGTGAACACTGACTTTTCAGAGAAAAGGCAATATTGACATTTTTTCCTAGTGAAACCTCTAGTGACAGTCACTCAGACGGTCACTAGAGGTGCTTCCTGTGCCTACATTCAGCTCCATGGAGGCGCTGGACATTCCCCATAGAGATACATTGATTCAATGCATCTCTGTGAGTAGTTGCTGATTGGTGTATCATTTTGCAGCCAATCCTATGGCAAAACATTGGATTGGCTGAGATCATCGAGCTTGATGATCTCAGCCATAAAGGCAGGGCCAGTTGAGGGGAGACCAGCACGACGTGGGGAAAAATAAGGTGAGTAAAAACACTATTCCCTTGCCAATGGAAGAGGTCTGGTAACCTAAACACACACACATACACCATGACAGACAGACACACACACCATGACAAACCCATACACTCACATTGACAGACTGACTCACACATTATTGCTTGTATTGATACCTGCGGGGTCCAGTGTGCGACCGGCCAGAGAATTGTGCAGGCGGGAGGCATGCTAGATGGTCGTGCAGGGCGGGCGGGTGGCTGCACGAATAGGGAGTAGATTCCGACCCCGGTCTCATTAAGTAGTCCGTGAGGGCAGGGGAGCAGAGCAGAGACAGCACAGGTCTACCTCCGACCGCCAGCTGTCTGCCTGGCCCCAGGGGTCGCGGCCCACTGGGAAATTTACCGGTATCCCGGTGGGCCAGTCCGGCCCTGTATATATCAGCCACAACATTAAAACCACCTGTCTAATATAGTGTAGTTCCCCCTCGTGCTGTCAAAACAGCTTTGATGTGTCGAGGCATTGACTCCACATGATCTCTGAATGCATCCTGTGGTATCTGGCACCAAGTCATTAGCAGCAGATCTTTTAAGTCCTGCGAGTTGCGAGGTGGGGTCTCCAGGGATTGATTTGTTCTTCCAGTACATCCCACTATTGCTCAATTGGAGATCTCAAGAATTTGGAGGCAAAGGCAACACTGTGAAATCTTTGCCATGTTCCTCATGCCATTCCTGAACAATTTATGCAGTGTGGCAGGGTCCATTGTCCTGCTGAAAGAGAGAACTCCATTGCCATTTAGGGGTGTGCATGGTCTGCAACAATCTCCAGGCAGGTGGTATGTGTCAAAGTAACATCCACATGCATGCCATGACCAAAGGCTTCCCAGCAGAACATTAACCAGAGCATAACACTGCTTCATTACAATACGTGTGAAATAGTCCACTTTGTGCTAACATGGTGCCAGGTTACATTTGAATATAGAGAATATTTATTCTTCATATACAAGTACAGTGAACTTGTATATATCACTAATAGGTGCACACGTTACATTGCAGTAGGGAGATATAGCATGTTCAGTTATGAAGATATTACAATATCGGGCAGAGTAGACAGATATATCAGATAAAGGGCCCAGTGATACAGGGATTGTATTCTGAGTAAGAGTTCGTGTTTGTGTAATTTTTAACTCAAAACAGTTTAACAAAAGTAATTTGTTTAAAAGTGAGAACACTCCAGAATATTTATCTAGGGGCTTTTACACTTTCTATGTAACCAGTCTCTGCCTATATCTCTAGCAATATATATATTTTTTTTTAATACACATACACACATAACATTGCATGCTCCAGACTTACATTTGGTTAAGTGCTCTTCAGTTTGGCTGATAAAGGTACAGTTGGAAACAGAGTCCCCAAGAATGCATGTTATATACTGCATAAAATATATCTTTGTTTGGATTCTCCCCTTGAAAGCACAATCTGACAATCTGCATATAGTCCTTGAGGAGCTCACATGGATTTTTTAATTCTTGGGAACCTTTAAAGGGACAGTATAGGCACCCAGACTTCTTCTAAATCACCTTAGGAAAGCATTGAGTCAATGCTTTCCTATGGGAAAAGCCTAATGCAGGCGCAGCGCTTGCCACGTATGCGCATTAGATTCCCCCATTAGCTGATGTCGATAGAGGAGGAGCGCAACCCGGTGCTGAAAACAGGTAAGTGAATAAAACCCTTTCATGGGTGGGAGGGGCAGAGGATCACTTCAGCTTTTTTTTATTCCTAACACTAAAGTGTTCCTTTCAACTCTTGGAGGCCAGGCGACCAGGCATCTGCAATACATATTATAAGAGAGACAGGAAAGCAACTAGCACTAACACAATAGCAGCGGTACTCCCTATCATATGGGTGCAAAATAAACCCTGATCCCTGGAGTCCAGTTTGAAAGATTCCACAACAAAACAACAGCACACCATAGTAATCGAAAAGCATTCAATTTCCAGCAACAAAGCGGCTATAATTGGAAGGCTTACTAGGGAAATAACCAACAGATGAGCTCAGTTATGCTCGGAAGCCAGCTTGTGAGTCGTGATGGTAAATATCACAGAACTATTTTCTAAACGTAACTGAATTCAACAGCATCACGGGTATTTACTCCGCTTAGTAAATCGACCTGGTTGTGTCTATGAATTGGCCCCCCCAGACTAATTGGCATATGTTTAAACCTCGGAAGAATTAAAGTCGTCAAGGATAGTTTGGCTGTGCAGTAAGCCGAGCAATTTAAGCATAGTTATGTATACATGTAAAGAAAACAAAATGAAACAGTTACAGTTTCAATTAAGTCCGACAGCAATTTTGTTCTAAATGTTTTCACGTAAATTAAGACTGCGCTTAAATGTAAAGAGATTCTGTCATGAGAAGTTCATGCAATAGACCTGTGTGACTCCAATGGTGCTTTTTTTTTTTTTTTTTTTTTTTTTTTTTTTTTTTTTTTTTTTATTCTTTATTTATGTTGTGGAAATATACAGGGCATACTGCCACATTTCAACATTTCCCACAATTTGGATGTTAGAAAGGTTCATAAATCCATCAAATACATATATTGAATAGTTGTCTTAAAAAGAAACCTCGCTGGAAGGGCGTGCAAGGGAGAGGGGAACCCCACTTTTCTCCTGCCCTCACCTTTATTCTTGTTTACAGCACACAGTCTCCCCCACCCATCTAAGGCTACCTATGTCACATAGCGGGTATATGTTTTACACAGGCACACATCATTTAGGCAGGAGCCATAATGTCACTCGTCACTACTAACATCTTCCCTCTGGTTGAGTCAAAAGACATAGAAAGTGGGTAGGTTGCTCTAGGGAAACGCTCTCTTATATAGAATGTCTAGGAACAAAAGCAGTAAAAGCAAAATAATTAAATAATATTTAAGATGCTGACTACGATACGGTACACAGAAACTCCAATTGAGGCCCAGCAGGCCACCTATGATTGCCCTCTCCTGCTTAAGGGACCTATGGTGGGTTCAGCCGCTGGTGCCTGCTTTTCTCCACTTCCACTCCAGACCCACGCTCCTGGCCCGGGGGAAGGCCTTCAGTAATCGGAGCCATATGTCCACCCGCTGCAGCCGACTGTACTTGCAGGAGTTGAAGGGCAGCTAGAAATTTTGCTGGGTCCTCTGTTGCTGAGCTCCTGTTTTCCTACCCGGTCTGACAGGAAGTGGTCACAGAGAAAACATGACTATTTCCTGTCAGACCGGGTACAGTGAGTAGGAGCTCATCCACCATGGTCTGCCTGCTTGGCCCCGCTACAGCAAGGTACAGGGAGGGCGGGGGTGAACACAGGGAGAGCGGGGGGGGGAGGGGGGTAAAGTAATGGGACTCATATATATATATATATATATATTTATTTATATATATGTATGTATATACACACACACACATATATAAATACATAACAGGTAATATATTCAACAATGACCATTCTGTGCTGAGGTATATTGCCATAGATCTCTTAAAAGATTTTAGATTGAAAGAAGATTTTGACTGTGTCCCTGAGGTTATTCCATAATTGCGGTGCTCTGTAGGAAAAGGAGGATCGAGCAACTTTATTTTTGTATTGCGGTATGCTAAATATCGTGGAAGTACTGGATGGGAGGTTATAGGAGGTGGGAAATGCTGGGGAGAGCATTCTACTCAGGTAGGGTGCTAGGACACATGGAGGGCTGGGAGGGCGATAATAGGACAGATGAGGGCTTGGAGGGGGCCTGTTGGGACACATTGAAGGCTGGGAGGGGACTGTAGGAACACATGGAGGGCTAGTAGGGAGGGCTAATAGGACACATGGAGGGCTGGGGGGCTCATGGGACACACGGAGGGGTGCTACTGAGAGACATGGGAGGGCTACTGAGACACATCCAGGATTGGGAGCGGTTATAAGGACTCATGGAGGGCTGGGAACACACGGAGTGCTGGGAGGGTGCTATAGGAACACATGGAGGGCTAGTGGGATACATTGAGAGCTGGGGGGGCTATATGGATGGAGGGCTAATAGGACACATAGAGGGCTGGGGGCTAATGGGACACATATGGGGCTACTGAGACACATGGAAGACTGGAGAGGGTGGAGTGAGACACATGGAGGGCTGTGGGGTAATGAGACACATGGAGGGGCTGGGGAGTAAAAAGACACGGAGGTGTGTGGGGAGAAAGAGACAGAGGGGTTGGGAAAGGGGAACAGGAGACACAGAGGAGCTGAGGAAGACTGACAAGAGACACACAGAGGGGCTGGGAAAGGGGAGAATGAGACACACACACAGAGGAGCTGTGGGGAAAGATACACATAGTGGTGCTGGGGCCTGGGAAAGAGACTCACAGAAGGTCTGGGGAAAGGGAGAAAGAGACAATGGGGCTGCAGCTAAGAGACACATGAAAGGGGCTTGGGGGAGACATCTTCACTTGTGTCTCCTGCTCTCCCTCTAACTCAGAGTCGACCGGTGAGAGAAAGACGTCGTATTAAAGGGACACTATAGTCACCAGAACTACTACAGTTTAATGTAGTGGTTCGGATGTCTATAGCCTGTCCATGTAGGCTGAGCACTGTAAATGCTACCTTTTCAGAGAAAAGGCAGTGTCTACATTGCTGCCTAGGCACATCTCTAGTGACAGTCACTCAGACGGCCACTAGAGGTGCTTCATAGTCCAGTGCTGCACACTATGCATGGAGGCATTGATTGCTCCCCATAGAGATGCATTGATTCTCTATGAGGAGATGCTGATTGGTGCGGTGAAGCGCAGCAATAGCCTCCCAATGCTTTCCTATAGGAATTGAATTGGCATTGACTGAAATGTATCCAGTTGTAAGCCAAAGTGAAGAGCACACTCTTATTACTTAAAAAAAAAACAACAAGATAACACTAATTTCTTTCTGCTTTGCAATAGCATACATTCACAATTTCAGTCCAATTGACCAAACTTTTCTTAAAATATCAAGAAAATGGACTGAAACATTGATTATATGCAAATGCACGTCTGCTTACAATAAATCCGCTCTTTTGTTTATTTTGAAGCCCTATGAGTGCTTTCTTTCACATTTGAGTGATAGTTTTCAGTTTTAAGTTGTTGTTTTTTTCCACTTCCATATCTGCACACTGTGCTGGCGCGATGCATTATGGGGCTGGTACAGAATATTTTTCCAGGGCTGCTTTTCATTCCTAGTCCAGCCCTGGACTTCAGAGGCATGATCTATACACAAAAACTGCTTCAATAAGCTACAGTTGTTTTGGTTACTATAGTGTCCCTTCAAGTTTAAAGATATTAATTCCTATTTTTTTTTATTCAGTATTTACCACTGGCTCAGCTAAGTGTAGCAGAAGACATGACATTTTTTAGCTAGGATTTCCTAACCTTAACCATGGGACACTCTCACTAGATTAAGTTTTAGAAAGTTATAATAAATAACAAAGAACATATGTTTCTGCTTATCTTCTCTAGAAATGCTCATTTAGTTGGCTATCCCTAAATGTGGACTGCCAATGAGTTCTTAGGGGAGGGTAAGAGGATTTCACAAATATTTTTTCAGCTTGCAGGCTATTTACAGTCTTAGCAGGTCTAAGATCTCCAAGTACAGAAGATATTCTATAGAGCGTTACAAATAATGATCACACTGGAAAAGCCAAGGCATTGCAGCTGTATTTTATGTTGGATTACAACTGACAACATAAAAATAAATACATCAAACGTTAATGTAACTGTAATGGAACTCTTTGTCTAGCCAGTCAGTCAATGTTGCATTGTGACTGCAAAGTCTGGCTTCACTCTTTAAAAAGTGAACATTAATGGTTTTGTTCTGAACTTGACGTGTTGGTCATGTTAGAAGAGAGGGGAATTTGTGTTATTTGAGGAATTCCTGACCTTCATTTTTTTTAATGCTTTAAATGGATATTACATTGACAGAACAAAGGCTTGGATGGATAGGAGAGGCTGATCAGAAACTGAACTTGATAAGCCCATTTAGCAAATCGAGCATATTCTGAGTAACTTATTTGTTCACCAAAATTCCTTCTTTCTAATTTCTAAATTTTAAAAGGAGTAAGTAATTGATATGTATGTGAAAAATTAACTCCTTAAGGATAGAGGCAATTGTCCTACATCTGAACCAAAACAAAGCCTAGAGTAGTTTGTTCCACTGTAATTTAATGATCTCTTTTTAAGTGCCCCAGTGCAAGTTCAAAATACCTCCTTAACCCTAAACAGAATTAACCCTAACCCAGCATTAACCATTATGTTATCCTAAACCTATCCCAACCCCTCCCTCCTAAACTGCTCCAATAACACAGTTATACAAGTTGTGCAAAGATTTATGGAATAAGGTCAGCGCTTACAGTAGGATGTTACTAGATCAGGGTTAGGCAACCTTTGGCGCTTCAGATATTGTGGACTACATCCCTCATAATGCTCTTACACCCATAATGCTAGCAAAGCATCATGGGAGGTGTAGTCCAAAACATCTGGAGTGCTGAAGGTCGCCTATGCCTGTACTAGATCATGCTGATCACTGATTTATTGGGTATTTCTCAAAGCTGGTTAATACATTACAAAAATGAAAAGCTTAGTTCCAGCCTAGAGTGCCCATTTAACAGTAATTGTTCAAGGAACACTGTAAGCACCATATCCACTACAGGCTGCCGACACAGTCTGCTGTATTGGTCATGGTGCCAGGATTGCCATGGAGCCCTCATTTTAAGTAGTCACTGTTTTTGGAACAGTTTTACTTTTTACCTGGCGTGCCCTTAAAGTTGCTCCCTGTCTCCTCTACAACTCAGCGAGAGTTGGAAGCTCCTGCTTAGGAGCAGTGCATGGCTAGCGCATTGTCTGAGAGCATCAGCTGATATATCTCCGTAAATTTGCTAAGCCCTGCACCTTTGGACTTCGCTCATTGACCAGAGCTTCTGGCTCTCATTGAGCAGTAGTGGAAGCAGGGAGCAGCGTCTGGCAGACTGCAGGTGAGAAGTCAAACCATTCTAAAATGTTTTGACTCCTTACAATGAGAAGGCACTGGGATACTCCTGAAACCATAACCACTACAGTGCACATGGTGTGTTCTTTCAAAGAAGCTAGTGCTCACAATAAGCAACCATTGGCAAAAAAAAAACCAACTAAAAAGAGAACATGGATTGCAATAAAATATATTAAGAGATTATCTCCTGGGGTATCAGGGTAGGTTAACTGTTACTAATTTAAGCAGTTGTTCTGCCATTCATTAAGCTGTGTGTGTTCAGTCAATAATGTCGATCACACTGTAATTAACAGATCCTTGAATTATTACAGTGTGCAAACAAAAGGCAGCCATTAAGATCCCAGTTCTCACTGCATGACGCATGCCATATCATTAGCCTTTAGAATAACTAGGGAATATGTGTTTTGCAGTCTCAGGCTCACTGCAGTTTTATTGTCATGGTGATTGTTATTGTTAGCGTTAATAAATCGCCAATATATTGAGGGGGAGAAGGGACGGGGCAGTACAGTATACATCGACAGTGCAAAAGTAAAAGAGCACCCTACAAATGGAGCGCGATCTTGTATTTATATTTTTCTTGTTTTGTTTTTTTTCTAGAATAACATGATCCCCGCTGGTCTAACCTGGGAGGAGATGCTGCATCCATTATATCAGAAGTACAAAAATTACATCACATGGGGAGACCAGGACCTGCTCAATATCATTTTCTATTTCAACCCAGGTATCTTTTCGGAATTCTCATCATAAATTGGATATGTTTGTTTTGTTTTTACCAGTAATTAAATACTTTTGAAACTAGTGACTATAAGGTAATGACATTCAGGGCTATATTTTATTTTAAGATGGCCTTCAATGCAGGGAAGAACATTTCAGAATAATTATTTGATAGTGCAATTTATAGCTTAAATGTATTGATTAAACATATAAATAACATTTTCCAGTTCACCTAAATCAGATCTTGCCATTCTTATAATATATCAACGAGAACATTAAACTGTGTGCTGCTTGTACCATCACACAGTTTGCTGCACACTCAGAGGAATTGCTGTTGCACAGACCTATAAGTGTGTCAGCTTGACAGCTGATGTAACTCCCTGCTGCCCAGTGAGATGTACGGGCAGTGTGAACAAGGCTGATAGGAGGAGGCATAAAACCTTGTCTCCACCCTTTCAACACACACATTGTGCCAACTCTGATTAGGCTTTTGAGAAAGCACAGCAGGGCTCCCAACTATGCTATGCTACAAAAGGTGGGAAGACAGATAAGGGAGGGAGAGCCACACAAAAAGAAAGGGAAAGAGCCACACAATAGGAAGGGGGGAGTGCCACACTAAAGGAAGGGGGAGAGCCACACAAAAGGAAGGGGGAGAACCATACAAAGGGGTAAGAGCAACACAAAAGGAAGGGGGAAGAACCACACAAAAGAAAGGGGGTGAGTGTCAGGATTACTGTTGATCAAGCACACAGAATTATATCACACCTAGGACTAAGGATAATGTCTAACCGGACCGTAGAGTGGCCGGACCTAACGTACCAGGTCACTGAGAAGGTAATTTGAGTTTAAATACCCCTCCTTTGGCTGTAATTGTCTGCCTCCGACCTCTGACCCCAAAACGTGCGTACGCATCTATGACGTGACGTTGCACGCACGTTGGTGCCTTCTTTGGTGTGGGCGAAGGTAAGTTTACTAGAAAGATCCAGGCCGCAGCAGTCAGTGCTCCTAAGAGTGGGAACCGGACTGGAGGGAGATCGGGCAGTGGTCTGCTGTGAGCAAGTTAAGCAAGAATTGCTTCTGTCTCCGCGGTTGCTTACTTTATGTGCAACCACGCCGGCAGAACCACCGGGAGCCGTGACAGTACCCCCCACTTGAAGACCACACACCAGGTGGGCAAGACCAGGCTTGAGGGGAAACCTAGCATGGAAAGAACGGATTTTGCGGCCTGCATGTATGTCTGAAGCAGAAACCCAAGAACGATCGGCAGGCCCAAAACTCTTCCAATCAACAATATACTGCTGAGCCCCTCGAGAAAACCTGGAGTCTAGTATAGAGGAGACTTCACACTCCTCCTGTCCAGAAACAACCAAAGGTGGGGGGTGGGTCAGAAGGGGTGGTCAGTAGGGATGCATGAAACGTGTTAGGTATACGCAGAGAGGCGGGGAGAGCCTGGGAATAAGACACAGGATTAATCCTGCAAAAGGACCCGATAAATCTGGGTGTGAACTTTATGTTAGGAACCTTGAGTTTGATATTCCACGAGGAAAGCCATACCTGATCACCCACCTGGTAAATAGAGTTGGCACCACGCCGCTTATCAGCATGCATTTTGAAAAGAGCAGCAGCTGTTTCTAAAGCCGTCTGGACCTTACTCCAAGTCTCACATATACATGTGAGATGGTCATCCAGAGCGGGAATAGCAGTTTCAGAGAACACTGCAGGGAGGACAGTAGGATGACGACCGTTGTTAACAAAAAATGGACTATGTCCAGATGAGTCATGGGTTGCATTATTTCTAGCGAATTAGGCCCATGGTAGTAAATCAGACCAGTTTTCTTGAGTGCCATTAATAAAACATCTCAAATATTGTTCCAATGATTGGTTGGCTTTCTCAGCCATACCATTGGTATGATGATGAAAATGATAATTCTATACCCACCTGTTTATTAAATGCTCTCCAAAATCGTGACACATATTGGGAACCCCTATCTGACACAATATTAAGCGGAATACTATGCAATCTGACTATTTTGCGTATAAATATATGAGCCAGCTCTAGGTAAGAAGGTTTTTTGTTTTTTTTGGAATACTGGGTATAGGAAGCAGTTGGAATAGCGAACAAGGTAGTTTATGGGAAACCTTAGAAACCGCACAAATAGTACATGCCTCCACATACTCCCTGATGTCCTTTCTAAGAGATGGCCACCAAAATGACCTGAAAACAGCGGACACAGTTTTATTAATAACACTATTAGTACCTCCTCTATTTTTAGTAACTGAATAAACAATCTATCTTGAGGTTTATCACTAGGTGCCTGAGTCTGAGCTGCCAAGCTAGCACAAAGAAGAGGAGAAGACAAGGAAAGGACCATAGAGGCAATGATACATTCAGGTGGTATGATGGGAGAGGTTTCTTGTTCCGCCTCTAGGTCAAATTTCCTAGATAGGGCATCCGCCTTAACGTTCTTAGTACCAGGCCTGTATGTAATGAGAAAGTTAAAGCGTGACAAGAACAATGACCATCTAGCTTGTCTATAAGACAGCCTTTTAGCATCTCCAATGTATGCCAAGTGTTTATGATCAGTTATGATCAGAAGGGGTTCCTTGGAACCCTCTAAAAGATGCCGCCAGTCTTTCAGAGCCAGGATATTGGCTAACAATTCCCTGTTACGTTCTGCTGGCGACAACTTTCTAGAAAAGAATCCACAAGGATGCAAAGGGGTATCCTAACTCTCCCTCTGAGAAAGGACAGCCTTGAGCCCTGTCTCAGAGGCGTCTACCTCTAGTATGAAGGGTTTGTTAGTGTCAGGTTGTACCAATATGTCAGCAGAAGCGAATAAAGAGATACCAAAGAAAAGAAAAAGAGAAGAAAAAAAAGGAAAGGAACACAGAGACGTGCATGTGGTGTAACATGGGATGAGAGAGTTGCAATAGTACGACTTAAAAGTAAACATGGGAGTTTGTGGTCAGGGGATTTACTATCCCTCATCATATAGGTCCTCCTTTTGGCAGCTGTAACCGTGCCATGCATATTGTCTCTGGGTTCAGTCCTTGTGCAGGGTCAGGTGGTTAGAGTCTGTGGGTCTCGTGCTGATTGTTCAGGAGTGGTGCTGTCCTCTGGGTCCCAGCTCTCCGGTTGGCTTACGATCCTGGAGGTGAGTTGTGGGGGGCTGTAGTTTCACTGCCCTTAGGAAGGTGGGGGCTCTGGATGGGGATGCTAGGTGGTGTGCAGTCCCGTTGTGATGGACGAGCAGCGCGCCCGTATTCCCCCACCTGTAGGCTACGCCTGCATTGCGCAGCACGGTTGTCACGGATCCAAAGGTCTTTCGCCTCACAATGTGGCTCTAGTAACATCCTGGAAGGAGAGCTGGGCGCCCTTAAAAGCCAGCAGTGTTTTTGCCTTTTATGGCAGTCATTATTTGTATCTTGTCGGATACCGTCACCAAGCGCAGTATAACAACAGTTTTGATATGCGTCTGATGTTGTTTGTCCTCCAGGTACATAATTTGACCAGCTAGTACATGTTGCTCTGCTTGGACTGAGTCCTTGAGGGTGGACACTGTGTCCTGAATGTTAGTGATGTCTGCCTCCACAGCTTCAACCCTTTCTGTTACGCTTTGTATGTCAGCTTTAACCTTCGTGACGTCTGCCACCAGCAATTTTTGTATGTTGATCAAGAGGGCTTTTAGGTCCCCTTTAGAAGTGGGGGCTGATTCATCTTGGGGTTCAGGTGTCAGCGGATGTTCCGCCGGGGGAGCCGTTGTCATGGCAGGCTCACCTCGGTCGGGTTCAGGTACCGGGCCGGCGGGGGATCGATGCGTGGTGTGTGCTGGCTCTGATTGTGCAGGCTGAAGCCACATCTCCTCTATATCTCTGCCTTGCATGTTGGGGCCAGCTGTGGCTTGGTGCGAACGCCGGCCCATGGCAGTGGGGTTGGATGTGAAGTGCTCTAGGAGGCTTCCGCTGAGGTAGGCCTCTAGGCCCTGGATTGGCGTTGCGCGGTAGGCCGCGGATTGGGTGCCTGGAAAAAAGGCATCAATCGGTGCGGTACGTATTGCTGGTCAGTGCTGGGTGTCTGTCGAGGGTCGTTGGCTGCCAGGCTTCCTCCCCTCCCACCCCCCCTTTGAATGGCTTTTAACCCATTAGGCAATGGCCAGTGTAGAATGGCTTCTAGTTTGCGAGGGTCCATCTGAAAACCAGAGGCCGAAATATTATATCCCAGAAACTGTACCTCTGTCTGGTCAAAAATGCATTTCTCAAGTTTGCAATAAAGCCGATTTTTAAGCAAAGTTTGCAATACCTGCTTCACATGCTTAAGATGGGTCTGGGGAGTAAATGAGAATATCATCCAGATAAACTAATACAAAAATATAAATGAAGTCCTGAAATACGGCCGGAGCATTGCATAAGCCGAAGGGCATGACAAGATACTCATACTTCTCGTATTAAATGCTGTTCTCCATTCATGACCCTCTTTAATCCTTACCAAATTGTAAGCACTCCTAAAGTCGAGTTTGGTAAATATCTTTTAAAGTCTGTTAAACAGTTCTGAGATAAGGGGAATGGGATAAGCATTTTTGATGGTTATCTTGTTCAATGCCCTATAAGCGATACATGGGCGTAACTCTCCATCTTTTTTAGAAAAAACCCAAAAACCTTATACCAGCAGGTGAAGAAGACTTACGTATGTGACCTTTTAGAAAGACCCTTTGATGTAATCCTCCATAATCCTACTCTCCTGTGGAGATAAGGCATATACTGCTCCCTTAGGGGGCATGGTACCTGGTAACAGATCTATGGAGCAATCATAAGATCTCACTCTTTTAGTAATGGGTAATATTCATCTCTCACTACAGTCTTTACCCCCATTCCAGTATTTCCCCCTTAGCCCAGTCAATATGAAGATTGTGCTTAACAAGCCATGTGAATCCTAATATAATGGGACAAGAAGGGGAAGCAATTATCTGAAATGTCATGATTTCTGTATGTAACACTCCTATAGTAATAGGCATAGTTTTGTGGGTAATTAGAGGTTGAGAGAGAGGTCTCCCATCAATGGCTTCGACGGCCAAGGGTGATGCTCTCCTTGATGGGTAGGAAGTGTTTACTGGCAAACTGCATGTCAATCAGGTCCATCAGGGCTTTGTATGAAAAACTTTTCTTGTTGCATAGAGCAGTAATATCAAGGAGAAATCTACTTTGGGTAGTACCAGAAGACTTATCCATCACAACTAAGACTTGTCCCCTTATGGTTCTTAGGTGCGGATGTTTTCCAGACATATGGGACAAGAATCTCTCATATGTCCTTTCTTGCCACAGTATAAGCAGAGGCCCTCTTTTATCCTAAACTGTTTCTCTGCCTCTGACAGTCTCGTAACCCCTAACAGCTAACTGTACAGAAAGGCCAGGGACCACGGGTCTGGAGAAGCAAAGTGCCAGTGACATATTCATACGTCTGGTTCTATTTCTTGTTATCTCCCTGTTCCTAAGTCGGTTATCTATATGCATCACGTACGTGATGTATTCATTTAACCTCTTTGGTAGTTCTTTGGCTGCAATTTCATCAAGGATAGATTCGGATATATTATAATGAGAAAAAATGATGGGCTTGTGGTTGCCACTCCTAAGTTTTACACAGGGTGCACAAAGGCCTAAAGTCTACCCTGCTTTTTACTATGCGTTTCATGTTTGTTTGTATTTTCAGTATTATGAACCAGACTTCGAAAATACATAAAGTCCTCTATTTCATATTTTTCGATAAGCTTTTCAAATAATTTAGTATTTTTATAATTATTTTTTCTAAATCTTAAAATATCAAAAAATATTTATGATATATAGTGTGGGACCATACTTTGCTGCTCTGAAACGTAACATTTTCATCAGGTATCCACGGGAGCAAACCCAGAAACACTTATCGCTGGGGGAACTCTAGGGGATCACTCTAATGCCTTAGTGAAGTTCATGTGGTCACAGCCTATGTCCAACCTATGTAGGAAGACGTGACTGACCTCAAACATGGCTTAGCAGTTGTGGGAGAAATCTTGCAACAACTAAAAGCCTAACAATCCACCCTAACCCTAAAGTGGACACACTAGGCGACAGAGTCAAAGACAGAATATTAATATCAGATGGGTGTCCGATGTGGTTTCCCTAGAAGAACTCCCACATTTTCTTAGGTGGCTGATAGCCTCTGTGCTGACCAACAAGCAAGCAAAATTGATTACAATGCATAGGGCCTATCGGATTGGTAGGTCTCCCCGGGCACCAGTGTCCTCCTCAAGGGACATTATACCTAGATGTTAATCGTACGCAGATAACACATTGCTCTAAATTGCTGTGGGACAAATCAATGCAACTCATTACCAAGAAACCGACATAACATAACACTAGTCTACGCCCTGGGCACTTCTGGTCTCTAGAGAAGAGAAGACATACAAGGCTACATCCCCTGAGGAAGCTTCCAGTTTCTTCACAGCTCTCGGCCTAAAAGAGTCTCATCCCGCAGCAGGACCTGTGGCCACCCATACCTGAGACATCCCGAATGTGACACCTTTTGCTCTTCCAGGGGCCCTGGGACTCAGTAACCTAAATACAATAGATGGTTCTGCAAGCATTAGAATTGTGCTTTGACCCACAGTTTTATTTTTTGCTTTTTCTGCACACTAACCGTTGAACCACTATAGGGTGCTATTTAGGTATTTGAGCTGTAGTGTGTGTGTGTGTGTGTGTGTATATATATATATATATATATATATATATATATATATATATATATATATATATATATATGACTTGTTCTGTTGATCCTGAGGAAAGTCCTATAGGTGGACTGGAATGTTGATCTTATTTAAAATATTTGGAAATAAAGTATCTTTGGATTTTATGAGGACTGTGAGTGCAGCCTTATACATATAGTTCAAGTGGGTTTTTCTGTTTTCTTTTTTTCTTTTCTTTTTCTGATTCTTTTGTATCTTTAAGCATATGAACTCACAAACACAGAGATATACCATTAAAAAAAATATTATTATATCAAAATATTTTTAAAAGTTTACTCAAAGATATTAAATAATTTGAAAAGCCTATTCAAAAATATTAAATTAAGACCTAAATTGGACCAGGGATTATCAAAAATTAGGCCAAATAACTGAGATGAAAAAATTGTCTATTATTTTGGCCTACAATTTGCAATCCAATGCCTGGTTTCCAGTTAAGTGAATAACCATGATTATTCAGCTTATTGTAATATTAATAAGAATGAATTGCTCAGTTTTCCCAATTATCATATCGAGGACATGTTTCTGATTTCAGAGAACCTTTATGTATTTCCATGTCAGTGGAATTACCGCCCTGATCACTGTATGTATGGAAGTAATTGCAAATCCGCAGAGGACGATGGTGTGTCTGTTCTGCATGGGAACCGTGGGGTTTATCACGACGACAAACAGCCAGCCTTCAAAGCATTCTATGAAGTTATACGAGATGTAAGTGTGAGTTTTATATTGCTTCTGATGTCTAGAATGGGTTTTTACCAAGCACCAAAACATATGCTATATGGACAAAAATATTGGGAAACACCTCTTAACCTCAGAGTCAATTGTCCAAGTTCTGAACTAAATCAAAACTAAATTTGCGCTACATATCTGTTCAACTATAATTTACCTTTTTCATATTAAATGCACTCTCACTTATTATCAGCTGTATGTGTGTGTGTGTGTGACTATACCTATATATATATAATGTACAGATGCATACATACATACTGTTATGTTTGATAACATAGCTGCCCTATCCCCTCACTACTGCCCCGTCTGCACCCACTACAGCCCCTATCCCTCCCCTACACCTACTACAGCTTCTGTTTCCTCCCATGCGACAACTAATAATATGATTAAGTGGTAGACATTTTTTGTGCCCCCAGTTTTGACTGTGGCGTCTTTTGTGCCTCCCATCCCCGTGTACTGTTTCTAGAATCACCATTGCTTCATGGGTAGTGAGAAGAGCCCAGGTCTAAACTACGGAAAGACACCAGGGCACATCAGCTGTACTGGTTATTTTACTTAGAAAGACCCTTATAGTAAACTTACATATTATTGATAAATGTACTAGTACTTTGGTCAGCAAGTTAATGTTTTGCTCTGCAATGTGCAACAGTGTTATACCAGCATGATAGTCATGAATTAGATTTAAAAAGAAACTCTTATTCTCTGCTTATGTCCATAACAGTATCCGTTTGAAGACAATCTGTTTCAATCCATGTATTACCCGCTCCAGACAAAATTTCTAGAAAGTGTTCATACGTTATGTGGGAGAATCCCACAGGTTTTCCTCAAGCAGATTGAAAAGACTATGAAAAGGATCTACGAGAGGAGAGTTATTGTCCATGTGGGACCACGTGTACGGGACTGAGAACATTTTCATATTATGTTGCAGGACCAAGTGAAGAGGGTGGAAATAACATTCAAGGCTTCTTTACAGAATTTAGAATATTTTGGAGCACAGACAATTTTTTTTAATTGTACGGAGGCCTATTTTTCACACCAAGGGGGTTATTAGAATTGTTGTGAATTCCAAATTTAATTTGTAATTACCCTGAAAGCAAAACTATAACATCTCTATGAATGACTGTTCCTCATTCCCTCACAACAGTAATTATATTAACATGCTAACTGTGATGAGCAATACTGTGGAGGTAAGTAAAAATCTTCACCTTCACTGTACTTTTATATTGAGGGTGATGTCACTTCCCATGATGCTTCAGACGAGTGAATGCTAATTCAAGCATCTCATCCATTGTGCTGTTTATGCACATAAACCAATTTACATAGCATGCCTTGGATTTGCCAGGACAGCGAAGAATACAGTGAAAATGATAAGATAAACATTATTGTGACTTTTTTAAACTATTTGTTTCTTTCAAAGAAGCACAGACCATACCACTATCTTTTAGTTAACTATATGTGTGTGCAAATATTTCACTTATGGCCATTTTGCTTAAAGGCTTCCTAGCAGTGTTGGAAAAGTTCTTCAGCTTTGCTCTCTTATCTCTTCCTATAACTGCATCACCAAAGGGTTGCACTGCATAACTACTTCCTTTTTAAACAAATTCATATTTAAGTTAAGCTTATTAAAAAATTTTTTGCAGTTTTAAGTTTGGTGCTCAGAAGGTGTATTTTAGAAATGAGGGACAGTTATTTTCATAAACTAAACAAAAACAAAAAAAACATTTTCAAGTTAATATTGAAGAAAGTAATTCCTATACCAATCCTCTATTGGTAAGGTAAAGTACTCCCAGATGTTAACTAGTTGATATACCGGTACATTGTGTTTGATAACCAAAACAGCAATAAATTGTAATTCTCCCCGTCTACCACCAAAACAGAAACACTGGCTTCTGTTCACGTACAGCTTCATTTCTGGCCGTACTCTGCACTTTTTCACAGTATGTAGTAATTGAAAGCGCTGTGTTTACTGCTAGAAATCCAATACGTTCTCACTTAACTGACGTTTTGTAACCACGATGATCAGAGTACAGGGGAAAATGATTAAGATGTTTGTTGTCAAACAGGTTATGATTTAGTGGGTGCATAGCAAAAAGCCCTGTATTGATTCACAGAGAGCTGGCACGCCTCGATTGCATGCTAGGATTTGAGCTACACAATGACAAAATAATTCTGTGGGGCCCGTTGCCACACGTAATCGGCAAAGCGGTGGGGACGATTAATGCCGGTGGGATGCAAACAGTCCAAAGCTAGTTACAGAGTAATCAATTCTGGTCAATAAGAGCTCTCTTTAAAGGCACAGCTAAAACTGACACATCATACTAATTATTCAAGCTCTGGAAAACGTAACTGCCTAACAAAAGTGTTCTCTAATTGTATAGAAAATGTAACTTGTACATTTCATTTTTCTATTCTGAGTTTTGTTTATGTTACCATTTCATTCATACTGTTTCTGGTTGCTTATTTTTGAAATGGATACAAACCCAAGAGGCTGCAGATCTACAGTTGTTAAAGGACCACTCTAGGCACCCAGACCACTTCAGCTTAATGAGGTGGTCTGGGTGCCAGGTCCATCTAGGCTTAACCCATTCTTTTATAAACATAGCAGTTTCAGAGAAACTGCTATGTTTATGAATGGGTTAAGCCTTCCCCCAAAGCCTCTAGCGGCTGTCTCATTGACAGCTGCTAGAGGCGCTTGCATGATTCTCACTGTGAAAATCACAGTGAGAGCACGCAAGCGTCCATAGGAAAGCATTGTAAATACTTTCCTATGCGACCGGCTGAATGTGCGCGCAGCTCTTGCCGCACGTGCGCATTCAGCCGATGGGGAGGAACGGAGGAGGATCGGAGGCGGAGAGCTCCCCGCCCTGTGCTGGAAAAAGGTAAGTTTTAACCCCTTTCCCCATTCCAGAGCCGGCGGGAGGGGGACCCTGAGGGTGGGGGCACCCTCAGGGCACTATAGTGCCAGGAAAACAAGTATGTTTTCCAGGCACTATAGTGGTCCTTTAAGAGGCACACAATTCTATCAAACTTTTGCTTAGGTTTTGAGCAAAAGTTCAAGCAGCTCAGTCACTTGAAGGGTCTATCTCCTTTTCTAATGTCGCCAACTTCCGCCTTATCTCCTTGTAGTTACACTTACTGCGTCACCGGTGCCATCCAAAATCTAAGGAAGAAGCCCTGTTATCCTTCATAGATTATCTTGCACATAGACAAAGAAATGCCCTAAACATCAGCTGTGTATTGAGAAGATCCCTATTAGTATTGGCGATCTACTCCAGTGAGATCAACGGAGATGGCAATTGGTGTAAAACTGTTTTTAAAGAAACATGCCAGCTTTATCTCCTTCCTCCGTTTTTAATTATACAACACTTCAGCACTATTAGAAAAAAATAAGCTTTATTTGGTGTCATAAATGTTTACGAGGTTTCTTGAGTAATTATAATGCAGTTCCACTCAGAAGCAGGAGTAGAAGTGTTTTTATATTTTTTTTATGTATGACTATTTCACTTTAATAATTTTATATCAGTATTCATAACACCATAGGCAAAGTGAATACAGCAGAGAAGTGAGCTGTTTGGATTGTACTGCAGTGATTGGCATAATCCTATAGTTGACAGAAGCAAGGCTAACCTATTTGTCAGTACACAACACCTCCCTTGTCCCCCATAGGAAAGAACAATGTCAATCAGCTTCTGCTAAAGCATGTTCGGTTCTATTTTATTAGAACATTCCGTCTCAATCTGCTCCTGCATCTTATCTACCTGTTGCAGGTAGCTTGCAAATGTTTAGGGAAATTGTAGTTTTCTAGATTTTCCAAATACAAAAATAAAGGATATCAAGTCGTGTGATAAACCACACAGATTACTGCATGCAGAAAGTCTATTATTATGGATCGGTATAAACAGTAAACATATACATTACATTCTAACAGACTTTATGGTTACATTTTATCAGTAATGTTTATAAAAATGAGTAACTTTTTGTATGTTTTTTGTATGTGAATATGCTTTATACAGAAGAGTTTTATTTTATATTGCTACTGCAAGGCTTTAAACTGTAAATAACTTTTTTCTTCAGTTGTAAATGTAATCGTTTTTCACACTATTTTTTATTTACCCTGTATAACTGGCATTCTCTTGATAGGAAATTTTCATAGTTGTATGAGTCCCATTGTACAGCGCTATGGAATTGGCTGGCACTATATAAATAATAAAATAATAATAGTATTGAGGCAAACAAAATAATTTATTCTTGGAAGCTCCCATGGTGGTGGAGAGGGGGGTAGTTCTTAGAATTCCAGTTTTTACATCAGGCATCTCCCAAAAGCAGCCAGCAATTGGGAAAACAGAAATGTGTGTCTCTTTCATCATTCACTTTTGTGTAGCCCAAACGTGTATTTGTCTGATTTTGTTCAGGATGTCTCCACCCTCCAACATTACTACAACCACTGATATAGAATGGAGCTGCTGCCATAGGTGGTAGGAGATCTCCAGATATGAAATACTATATGTGTCAGAGGACTTGGTGGGTTCCAGGCTTCGGCAGGAGTGGTGTGTACATTGCTCTGTCCATTCCCTTGCCAATTTTAGAGGCTGGCTGCTTTTCTCTGACCAGCTCCCCCCCATCCCTGGACATTCCTAATCTCATTTAGGGTCAAGAGTATGAGATCTGAGAATCACAATAGGGAAAGATCTCTTGGAAAACATTAAACATCATTAAAATGCCCAATTCTTGGGTGTTTTTTTCTTCTTCAGATGTTCAATGTCTATATGTTGATATATAACAGGTCCTGCAGATTTTTGTTTTCCTGGAAAAGAATGCCATGTTTCCTTTTTTGCCCACTATATGTAAACGATGTAGCTCTATGCATGTGTGCCTAATCGAATATATATTTTCATTTGTCCCATATGCAAAATATGCTAAAATCCCTACTTTTCTTCTTATTTGAACATATGCAAGCTATTAATGTAATAGGATCCTTTTTATCTCTGTGAGTTCAAATGTAAGAGCAATGGCCAACAAAAAAATCTAAATCCTACAACCCAGATGTGGCATATGTAAATCAGTATAGAACATCCTATTACTCTGCATGTATAATTTTTCTAAAGGAACACTCCAAGCACCTTAACCACTATAGATCACTGCTGTAGTTATGGTACATAAAGTCCCCTGGTGTCCTCCCATATTAGATCGATTTGAAATCTTACTTGGAGTCCCCCATTAGTTGCTTCCTGTCTTCTCTCAGCAATCCGACTGTTCTAAAATAGTTTAATTACTTTCAATGGGGGGAAGGGGGGTGCTCTATGGTGGTTATGGTGCTTGAAGTGTTTCTATAAGAAATTTTATTTTGTTTACTAAATGGTGATTTGTGGTAAACTTATAAATGTGCTGCCAAGTTCATGCTACAAAGCTTGACATGGAAATTAGCAAAATTGAAGACTATATTTATTTTGGCTTATTTTGTCTGTTACCTACATTTAATTAAATAGAGAGTAAATCCTATATTGTGTTTTAAAATTACAATTTTTAGATGTTTTTTTTTTCAGTATTTGCATTTTCTTCATGAAACTGGAATCATAAAAATCAATCTCTGGCTGAAAATAAAACATCAGCAAAATGTATGTCTCCCAGGGAGATGAGAAAATAGATGTAATATCTGTAAGATAACAGACTCAAGGCAGAGTAACCCCTTTTGAGCTAGTGATGCACAACCCATTGCTGGCTGATGTGTTGTGAATCATGTTGGCTTGTTAAAGGTTTTGTAATTCCATTGAGATTGTGTATCAAACCATTTGTGTAATTTTACGTTTTGTTTTTTTTCGGTGGGGGAGGGGGGTTGGATTATGTTTTGAATATCTCATTTATGTAAATAAAGTAATAAGTGTGTATGCAAATATATTTTTTGTCAGCTGTCTTCATTGAGGGTCAATTTTAAAATCACTCCCAGGATATATTTTCAATTTTGGTTGTCCTTATACTGAATTATTATGGCCTTAAAGCTTGAAATTTTTCAAATAAATGTTAACTGTCATTTACCTATGAAGAACAAATTAGAGTCTGCTCTATAAGAGACAAACACTTTCTTTGAGAGGGAAAGGGACCCCTAATTATCCTTTCTCACTCTGCGGGACGTAAACTCCTAACCAACTGGGATTATAACATCAGTCTTCCTCCCACTCTTGGTTGAGTCTCCAAAAACACAAATAAGTGTTTTTTGAGACTATCTCCAAAATCCAAATACCTGTGTCATTGATCTTAGTGTGACTGTTGTCGGTTATTGTTTTGCCTAGCCACTGTAAGTGCCAACTCTGATTAACTAATTTAGAAATATTTTACTGATTTTTCTTTTGTGAGAGACAGATTATTTGATTTTGTGCCACTACTTTTTCTTTGCAAATTGCAGTACAGTTTGTGTGTGTGGCACGTCTTAAAATAAAAAATAAAAAAAATACGTTTTACTTACCTTTTTCCCAGCACCAAGGCTCTTTCATTGCCTCTCCCTCCATGCCTCATTCGTGAAGGACCAATCCAACATTCCTCATAGAGGCGTATTCCCTATGCAGACTTCCCTATAGGAAAGCATTAAGTAAGTGCTTTCATATGGGGCTTATGCGTCACAAGAGAAAACCACTGACATACAGCCAGGGCCGCCATCAGGGGGTGACAACCATAATGTGTAGCGGCAGAACTGCCGCCGGTGCAGTTCCACTGAGGCCTATCGGGTGGCCCATGCACTTAGGGCCACCCGATGGGCTCTATATCTTCAGGGGCCTGGTCAGTGCTGTGACCATGTAATAGCGCGACCTGGCCCCTTTAAAAAAAAAAAAAAAAAAACACAGCCGCAGCAAGTGCCACTTCCGTGTGGGAGGAGCACCAGCTGTCTCCTATCAGCCACAGCCACCCTCCTGCAAAGAAAAGGTAAGAAACAGGAGGATGGCTGGAAAATGAGCTCTGTGTGTGTATGTATATATGTATGTCTGTATGAATATATGTCTGTCAGTATGTATGTATATATGAATGTATGTATATATGTATGTATGTCAGTATCAACGTATGTCTGCATGTCATTATGAACGTATGTCTGTGTGTATGGATGTCTATATGCATGTATGGCAGTATGTATGTATGTATGTATGTCTGTATATATGCATGTATGGCAGTATGTATGTATGTCTGTATATATGCATGTTTGTCAGTCTGAATGTATGTGTGTATGGATGTCAGTGTCTGTATGTCTCAGTATATATATATGTATGTATGACTCAAGGTCATTATGAATATATGTATGTATGTATGTCGGTGTCTGTATGTATGTCATTATGAATGTATGTGTCTGTATGTCCTCATGCATGTGTGTCTGTATCTATGTTAGTATGTGTCTGTCACTATGTATGCCTGTGTGTCTGTACATGTGTGTATGTCTCAGTATGTTTGTTTCAGTATGTGTGTCTGTTAGTATGTATCTGTGTCCTTTTGTATCAGTGTGTGTTTGTGTCTGTGTGTGTATTCCTGTGGGCAGTGTACCCCCACACCGACAAACAACACATACAGAATACCTAGAATAATGCAATAACACAAGCAGTTCCTGTACACAGACAACATCACAGGCAGCTGACTCAACACCATAAACAACACCACAAATAGTCTACTAATTCAAATAAACACAGCACCCAGACAAACATGCAATACCACAAGCACCCTCCCCACACACACAAAACATCACAGGCAGCTCACTTCAACATATACAACCCCACTTGTACTCTCCCCAGTGGTGTATCCTGGTTTTGTGCTGCCCTAGGCAGGACAAAACTTAGGCACTCCCTCCCCCCGCGCCACCCACACCCAACCCTTCCCCCCGCCCCACCTTCTAAATACACACACACAGACACACACACAGTCAGAGACACACACACACAAAGTCAGATACACACACACACACACACACAGTCAGACACACACACACAATCACTCACATTAACACATTTTTAATTTTTTTTATTTAACCCTCTCCCCCCCCTGGGAATGCTGGGGGGGGGGTTCTCTTTCTCCCTGGTGGTCCAGTGGCTGCTGGGCTGGGCGGGCGGGCGGCTGGCGAGGGAGCACTTCCTCTGAGCAGTCTGTTCAGCTACCTTGCACGCTGCAGAGTGAGGCCGGGAGCCGGAATATGACGTCATCTTCCGGCTCCCAGCCTCACTCTGCGGTGCGCGAGGGAGCTGAGTAGACCGCTCAGAGGAAGTGCTCCCTCGCCAGCCGCCCACCAGCGCCGCCCGCCCAGCCCGGCATGTCTGTTAGCCGCAATGCTAACAAGACATTTGCCCTGGGCATTTGGGGGCGGCGTTTTTTGCCGCCCCCTGGAAAATGCCGCCCAAGGCAAATGCCTTGTTTGCCTCACGGCTAATACGTCCCTGACTCTCCCCCCACATGCAACCCACAAACAGAGCTCCTACAAATATGCAACATCACAAGCAGCATCCCCCCCACATATGGATCACCTCAGACAGGCAACAACACAAGCAGCATTTAAAATGAATGCGTTAGTATACACATTTATTATTATTATTACTGTTATTAAAAATGGAACTACAATCTTTTGGGAGCATGGAACTGGTTTTGCCCCTTGGAGCCTTATGACCTTGCTATGCCTCTGTACAGTATATGCCCAAGTGAGCCCAGAATGAAAAATCTAAATAGACTGCAAGAATATAGATGGGAAAGGGCAGTCCATGTCACCCTAGTGCTATAAACTATTTTGGAGAGAACAATAACATGCGTAATAATCAAAGCAGTAATTCAAGATAAATTAGAACTTGGCAGAGATAAAACGTAAAAAATAAACAGAAACAAGTTAGCAACAACTCTTACCCTGGAGACTAAATTCAATCATTAAAAAGATAGTTAGTCCATTTCCTCTAAATCAACACAATTACAGTTTTTTGTAAACGTCTTAAACTATTAGCTTCAGCCAAATTCCAGGAGATCTCTCCAAACATAAATTCTATGCTTATATTTTCCCTAGACAACTATATATTATGTTCTAGAGATGTAGTACAAAATCGTCAAACCTTCCACAATACGTTCTTAATTGCCCTATGGTACAGAGCGTTTGTAAAGACCTAATTCATTACGTGCAATCCATTAATTCTAACTGCCTATACTAAAGGGACAGTTTAGTCAGAGGAACCCAGACTACTTCATCTTGAAGTGGTCTGGTTGCAGTGTCCTTGTCCCCTTTAGCCCTGCGATATAAAACATTGCAGTTTTGCAGGGTTAAGCCTGCCTCTAGTGGCTATCTACCAGACACTTCCTACAATTTCATAGAGTTTGACTTGGTGAAACGATGCTGGAACGTGCAGCGTCTTCTAAATACCTCAAATTGACACAATGCTTTCCTATGGGAAAGGTCTAAAGCACACGGCGCATGCACATTAGGATCGCCTTCATTGGCTAATGTTGTCAGAGGAGGGGCTTGACCCAGCACAGAGGGGCATCAGCACAGAAATCAGGTAAGTGACTGAAAGTTTTTTTTTAAAACCATTTCATGGATGGGGAGACCATGGGAGGGGAGCCGTGGTAGAAGAGGGACAGTATTGTTTTAGGAATACATCTCGTATTCCTCAGTGGCCTATTTGGGTCTGGTAGGCTGATTGACAACCTCTACCTTGTGTTCAAAAGTTATTTTTCCTACAATATCTTTTTTATTGAATAAACCCATTGTGTTATTATTTAATTACATTTGTTGCATAGGACTTCTCACATAAAGATATTTTCAACATAACATGATCATTTAAAGGCACAGAATAACACAATTTTACAGAGGTACAGATATATTTGTGGCACTGTAACTTGTGAGTTTTTCATAAAGATAGAATCAGAAGACAGTAGGGGACGATATTATCTCATGTAAGTACCGTTTTTTGGTAAGATGTTTTATTAGTAAAGAGATGCTTTTCCTGCCATATTTTGACACTTCCCATCAATAACTACAAGTGACAGCATACGAGAATGTCAAAGTATTACAAAACACAAAAAAAATACCATGAGCATCTTGTTATATGTCTTTAATTATTTTATTTAGTGAATTGAAATTGGTTCCAGTGTCCTATTTAACGTAGCACTTGCAGAGAATCCAGTAAGATGAATTTCAGAAGAAAGTAGTTAAAGGGACACTATAGTCACCAGAACAACTACAGCTTATTGTATTTGTTCTGGTGAGTGCAATCGTTCTCTTCAGGTTTTTTGCAGTAAACTGTCTTTTCAATGAAAATGCAGTGTTTACATTACAGCCTAGGGATAACCCCACTGGCCACTTTTCAGATGGCTACTTCCTGGGGCAGTGCTGCACTGCCATTCAATGTCTCCTCTGCATGCATACACTGAACATTCCTCATAGAGATGCATTGATTCAATGCATTTCTATGGTGAGATGCTGATGGACCAGGGCTGTGTTTGAATAATGCTGGCTCTGCCCCTGATCTGCCTCCTTGACAGTCCTATGTGAAATCATATTGGCTCAGAACATCACTTCTGATTATGTCAGCCAAGCAGGCAGATTAGAGGCAGAGCCAGCAGCAGCAGACTGGAATATAGGTAAGTTTTTAGTATATTTAGGGGGGAGGATGGGGACTGGATGGTGTTTTTAACACTATAGGATCAGGAATACACGTTTGTGATAGATATATGCATACACAGATACATACAGACATACATAATGACATACACACATACTGACATACATACACACATACATACTGATAGATATATACATACATACACACATACATACTGATAGATAGATATATACATACATACACACATACATACTGACATACACACAGACATATATACATACTGACATACACACACAGACATATACACACACACACACACACACACACACAGACATATATACATACTGACATATATACATACTGACACACACACAGATAGATACATACACACATACATACTGACACACACACAGACATACATGCATAGTGACATAAATACTGATATACATACTGATAGATATAAACATACACACACAGACATACATACTGACATATATACATACATACTGACAAACAGACATAAATACATACATACATAATGGCATACGTACATACTGATATACATACATACAGACATACACACATACAGATAGATATATACAT